GACCCTGCCCAGTCCAGCTGCCCCGCTGCCTCCACAGTCGCAGCAGCAGCAGCAGCAGCAGTCGCCGCAGCCGCAGCCTCCGCAGCAGCCGCAGCAGCCGCCGCAGACGAGGCAGGCGAGTGCTCTCCCGCCTGGGTGGCCTGGAGCTGGTGGTGGTCGTGCGCGTGGTGGTGCGCCGGGTGGTGGTTCTGGAGGCGGGCGCTGTCAGTACCAGATCCAGACCGGTCCTCGCCGCAGCTTCGTTTGCGGTAAGATCGGCCATTCCACTCCTCGCTATTTCCGTCGTCTGGACGACCTGTTCCGTCAGCGCTTTGGCCCGGCGCCCGACCTCCTGGACTGGCACAGCTTGCTTAGGCGTAGCATTCAGATTTTTGACTTGGACATGGATGCCATTGTAGCAGCCTTGCATGTGATGTATGCTGATGACTCTAGTGTGCTTCCCTCTTATTACCCTGTGTTGCCTAATGTAGATGTGCCTAGCGTAGACTCCCCTGCTGCGTCAGGCGTAGGATCTCCTGCTTTGCTTAGCCTCGGTGCTTCCACCGCTTCACTGCCGCCTCGCGCGACTGCTGCGCTTTCCTTCACCTTGGACTCTGGCGCCTCCCGGTGTTTCTTCCGCGACTCCACGACGCTGACGCCGCTGCCTGTTCCCGCTGCAGTTACTCTTGCTGACCCCTCCGGTGGTCCCGTCGTTGCCCGCAGTTCCACCTCCCTTCCCTGTCCGGCGGTTCCTTCAGGTTCGCTCACAGGTCTGCATATCCCCTCGTTCTCCAGAAACCTAGTTGGTGTCGGCTGCCTCCAGGACCTTGGCGTCACCACTACGTTTCCTGGTAACGAGCGGTATGCTATCTGTACTGAGGCCGCCACTGGTGCCCCCCTTACCACTTTCCCCCGGGACCCGGTGTCCGGCCTGTTCACACTTGACACCGCGACTTCTCCGGCTGGGTCTTCCCCCCAGGTCGCTGCGTCCACCCAGGTTGCTGCTGCGTGCTCCTGTCGGTCCCTCACTCACCCGACTCTCCTTTGGCACCACCGCCTTGGTCACCCTGCACTCCCGCGCCTGCGTCACATGTCCCAGCACGGTCTCGTCCTTGGTCTCCCCGGTTCGTTCCCCGAGTTTCCCTCCTCCCCCGCCCCCCCGTGCACGCCTTGTGTCGAGGGCCGGCTCCGCCGTGCCCCTCACTCCTCCTCGTTTCCCCCTACCACCGCACCACTGCAGACTCTGCACATGGACGTCTGGGGCCCCGCCCCGGTCCATGGGCCGCGTCGCGAGCGCTTCTTCCTAGTGCTTGTCGACGACTTCACGCGCTACACCAGTGTCTTTCCCCTGGAGCGGAAGGCCGACGTGCCTGACGTTCTCATCCCCTGGCTTGTCTCTGCTCGTGTCCACCGCGGTCTCCCTGCCTTGCGCCTCCACTCCGACCGGGGTGGCGAGTTTGCCTCAGGTGTCCTTGGTCGCTTCTGTCGTGCGGAGGGCATCACCCAGACGTTTACCCTGCCGGACTCCCCGCAGCAGAATGGGGTCGCTGAGCGACGCATCGGTTTGGTCATGGAGGTGGCTCGCACCTCCATGATCCACGCCGGTGCACCCCATTTTCTGTGGCCGTTCGCCGTGCGCTACGCCGCTCACCAGCTTAACCTGTGGCCGCACCCCCAGCGGCCGCCGGTTTCGCCGACCCTTCTGTGGACCGGGTCCCCTGGTGACGCGTCTGCGTTCCACGTCTGGGGCTGCCTTGCTCACGTTCGTGCCTCTGGCACGGACAAGCTCACTGCCCGCACCCTTCCCTGCGTCTTCCTCGGTTTCCCCCTTGACGCGTCCGACTGGCACTTCTACCACCCGCCGTCTCACCGCTTCTTTCACTCTCGCGACGTCACCTTTGACGAGTCCGTCTCCTTCTACCGCCGCTTCCCCCACCGTGGTCCCCCGGTTACTCCCCCCTTGTTCCTGGTCCCTCCTTCCCCGGTGGTCCCTGCCCCTCCCCCCCCCCCGCCCCCTCGTCCGGCCCCCTCTGGTGTGTCTCACGTCACCCCCCTCCCGTCGGTCGTCCCGGTCGACGAGTCTTCTGACTCTGGTAGTCCTCCGGCGCAGTCCTCGCCGTCTGTCCCTCCCCCGGTGTCTCCTCCTCCACCGCCTCCGCAGCCGCCGTCACCGCAGCTGCTGCAGCCGTCGTCTCCACCGCCGCCTCCGTTGCAGCCGTCCTCTCCGCCGCCACCGCCGTCGCGGCCGTCGCTGCAGCCGCCGCCGCCGCCGCCGCCGTCGTCGCTGCCGCTGTTTGTGGACTCTGGGGGTGCTGGCGTTGAGGTGGGTCCTAGTCCCGGGGCTCCTGTCGTGGCTTGTCCCGGCGGGCCTGGGGGTGGTACCGGTGCTGGCGGGGTTTCGGGCTCTGGGGGTGTCCCTTCTGGGGGTGCCGGTGTGGAGGGTTCGGGAGGTAGCCGTCGCGCAGCTTGTGGCCCTGGCGTTGGTGTTGTGTTGCCGCAGCAGCAGTCCCCGCCGGTGTCCGCCCTCCGTCTGCTCGGCCTTCCGTCCCCTGACCCTGCGCCTGTTCCTCACCTGCCGTCTCCTCCTCTTCCCGTCTACGGCCCCGTGTTCCCTCCGCCGGACTCGTCCCCGGCTCGTTTTCCCCCTCGTTCCCCACCAGTGTCCTCTCCTCTGTCTCCTGACCCGACGCCTCCCTCTCACGTCTGGTCTCGCCGCCCCTCCCGTGCTCGTCCTGTCTCCCCCGTCCCGCGCTCTCACCCTATGTTGCTCCGGTCCCACGCGTCTCGTCCTCCCCTCCTCCCGTCTCCTCCTCCGTCCTCTCTTGTCGTTGCGTCTCCTCCTCTGTCTGACTACTTTCGTGCCGCTCGTCCTCTTGTTCCTCGGGTCCTTGCCTCTCTCGTTACCGACCCGTCTGTTCCCGTGTCGAGTCTGGACGCCCTTGTCGCTGCGGTCACTGACTTCGCCTCTACCCGCCGCCTTGACTACGCTACCGCTCTGGTCTCTGACCCTGCCTGTCCTCCGTCTGTCGGGGGTGCTCCTGCCCTCGGCAGTGACGTCCTGGAGGACCGCCAGTTTGAGCTTGCTTTCCTCTCCGAGGCTGCTCCCCATCTCTGTTCCATGCTACTAGTCCCTGAGGGTGACCCAGACGCTTTCGACATCCCGACCCCTCGTACTTACGCTGAGGCGGTTTCGGGACCCTGGGCCTCTCAGTGGATAGCTGCCATGGAACAGGAGATGGCATCTTGGAGATCCACCGGCACCTTCGTCGACGCAGTTCCCCCACCTGGGGTGAACGTGGTCGATGGCCGTTGGCTCTTCAAGGTGAAGCGCCCTCCTGGAGAGCCGCCTGTGTTCAAGGCGCGCTACGTGGCTAGAGGCTTCAGTCAGCACGAGGGGGTGGACTTCTTTCAGACTTTCGCTCCTACACCGAAGATGACTACTCTCCGGGTTCTGTTACACGTAGCGGCTCAGCGTGACTACGAGCTTCACTCCCTCGACTTCTCCACTGCCTTCCTTCAGGGCAGCCTTCACGAGCATGTCTACCTGCGTCGTCCTCAGGGCTTTACTGGCACTTTCCCCCCTGGGACCCAGTGGCTTCTGCGGCGCCCAGTCTACGGCCTGCGTCAGGCGCCTCGTGAGTGGCACGACACGCTGCGTGCTACCCTTGCTGACCTGCAGTTCTTTCCGTCCTCTGCAGACCCTTCGCTCTTCGTTCGTGCTGGCCCGACTCCGTTCTACATCCTTGTCTACGTAGACGACCTGGTCTTTGCCACAGCTGACAGGGACGCACTGGCCTCCGTGAAGGCAGAGCTGCTGAAGAGACACACCTGCACTGACCTTGGAGAGCTGCGCCGTTACCTTGGCTTGCAGATCTCCAGGGACAGAGCCGCGCGCACCATCACCCTGACTCAGTCACACTTGGTGCGCCAGGTCCTTCAGAGGTTCGGCCTTCAGTTCTCCTCCGCACAGCCCACCCCTCTTCCTCTAGACCACAGACTCTCCGCTCCAGTTTCTGAGGAGTCGGCAGATCCCAGTGGTCCTTACGCTGAGCTAGTGGGTTGCCTCATGTACCTGATGACTTGCACTCGCCCAGATCTCGCATACCCTCTCAGCATCCTGGCTCGTTTCGTGGCCACAGGCAGACACCGACCTCAGCACTGGTCTGCTGCTAAGAGGGTTCTGCGTTATCTTGCAAGTACATCGGGCATGGGGTTAGTGCTAGGCGGACGCAGGCCAGTGGTCCTTACTGGACACACAGACGCTTCTTGGGCAGACGACGCCGAGACGCTCAGGTCTTCCCAGGGCTACTGTTTTAGCCTTGGCTCAGGTGCTGTCTCGTGGAGAGCTACCCGCTCCTCGTCTGTTGCCCAGTCCAGCTGTGAGGCCGAGATCTACGCCGGTGCCATGGCGGCACAGGAGCTCCGCTGGCTAACCTTCTTGCTCACTGACTTAGGTGAGCGGCCTAGATCTGCCCCGGTCTTGTACGCTGACAACAGGGCCATGATCCTCCTGTGTCAGGAGCCTCGACTCGAGGGTAGAGCGAAGCACATCCAGCTGCGGTACTTCCTCCTGCGCGAGCTACAGCAGCGTCGCCAGGCTCGCGTAGTACACTTGGCCTCCGGTGCCAACACAGCTGATATCTTTACGAAGGCGCTTGCGCCTAAAGATCATCAGCGGCACTGTGTACAGCTTGGTCTGGTTCCTGTAGTCCCTCACTTACTCGGGCCTTGACTTTGTACTGTCCTATATATATGTGTACACTCAGACTGGACTTGTGTCCTCTCACAGTGGTTGGACTAGTAGTGCCGCCCTGTACTTGTTCTTGTCTTGTCTGTACTCCTTCTGACTGGTCTTTTAGACCCTTGTCTCAGAGGCTGGACTAATAGTGCCGCCCTGAGCTGCTTGTCTAGGACATTCCCCTATGCAGTCCAGGGGGTGTGTCAAACATGTATTATTGATCATGTTTGTATAGACTGTATAGGGTAACCTCCTAGAGGGTACAACATTTAGGTATATGTGCATGTACTCTCTAACTCTATTATCATTAAAAAATCTAGTTCTGAGACTTATAACTTCCATTTCATAACATGCGCCTGTGAATTCCCCTAAAATCCCTATAAGCAAATACGCGCTAAAATTCGGGTGACTACGGCACCCCCTGCAAGAGTTTAGCCGTGCTGTGAAAGGAACGGGGAAGGGGGAAATGGGAGCAGTATGGGAGCAAGGGATGACGGGGAGATGGGTGTCAGAAGACTAGGATGCTAGGAACGGTAGACGGCCATGGAATGGCGTCAGGGTTTAGCTAGGAGAGAAAGTTGACGAGAGAAAAAAGGGTCGAGAATAGAAGAGAGAGGGATACAAGGAGGGGGGTTGTACCCTCTACAGTAGGTTTCAGTAACACCTACCAAGCCTACCAATTATATATCAAAGATATAATTTAACAATGGGCAGAGAGATGGGCAGGGAGAGAGAGAGAGGGAGAGAGAGAGACTAGCTGAAGAGATATTGAGATAGGCTCAGGGGCTGAGCATGACTGCAGGGGGGAGGGGAGCAAGGTACTCAGGTTCTGAGTGGAAGGGGAGTTGGGGTAAGGAGGCATAGGTGGAAGGAGGGGAAGGTGGAAGGAGGGGAAGGTGGAAGGAGGGGAAGGGAACAGGGCTCAAATTAGCCGGGTAAAATGCCCTGATTGCCCTGATTTTTCAGGGCATTTTTTCATTTGGTCTTAAAAATCAGACTTACGAAATTTATTACCCTGATCCAAAAAGTGTTACGAAAATATTACCCTGCCGAAACTAGGGTTGCGGGGCCCCGAACCCTGACCCTTCAGGGCGTCCTGAAAACTACCCTGGTATCGAAACTCCGAGATTCCGACTAAGTCCTTGGCGGCCAGAAACATTTCCCCCAAAACACCCTGCAACCAAAAATTTCGACGAAGTCCCTGGCAGCCAGAGTCATTCCTCCCACCCCACGCACCATGCAAGCCAGCAATTTCGGCTAAGTCGTAGCCAGAGTCATAGCTCCCTCACCCCCTCGCAACCCAGAAATGGCTAAGTCCCCCACAAGAGACATGCCTCCCAACCACACCCCCGCTACCTTTTTTTTTTCGCTAAGTCCTCCACACCACAGCAAGACACGTCACGTCGTATACGCCCTTCTGACACCCAACCAATCACGAGCAGATGGTTTTTTTCCCGCCCCTCTGCCGCCCATGTAAATCTGATTCCCCTCTCGCGCCCCAGAATCGTTTTCCGTCCCATCCCATCCCCCAATCTCCCCCAACACGCGCAAATCCGCTACACCCTTCTTTCCACACCTCAGTGCAGCCCACTTCATTCATGTAAAATGTTCCTTAAATGGCCAAGGCTAGAAAGGGTGCAAAGAGTTCTACACTTGAAGCAAAGACTTCGAATTTTTTTACCCTGCCAAATCAGACTTAGAATTTTTTTAGCTCTGACCGTCAGGGCATTTTTTTTTTCCTACTCTGATCTCAAAGAGTGGCCTAAAACCAATTTTGGGCCCTGGAAGGGAAGCGCACCCAAAGGTCATGTCCCCAGGGCAGCCGTGCCCGCCGTGAAACCAAAAAAACGGGGGCGAGAAGGGAATCAGGGAGAGGAATGGGCGGAAATGGAAGGCATGAGGGGGAGGAAGAAGGAGGAAGGGGTGAGACCCGGAGCAGGGAGGAGGAACGACAGCAGAAAGGAGAATGGGAAGGGGGAGAGAGGGGAGAGGAAGAGAGGGAGGGGGGAAGGGGGATAGGGGGGGAAGGAGAAGGGGGAGATGATGGGAGCAGGGGGGAGCAACCAAAGCTGAGAGAGGGGGAACGGGAGAGGAAGAGAGCGGAAAACTGAGAGGAAGAGAGGGGGAAGCGGAGAAGGAGAGAGGGGGGAGCGGAGAGGGAGAGAGGGAGAAGCGGAGAGGAAGAGAGGGAGAAGCGGAGAGGAAGAGAGGGGAAAGCGGAGAGGAAGAGAGGGGAAAGTGGAGAAGAAGAGAGGGGAAAGCGGGGAGGGAGAGACGGGGAAGCGGAGTGGAAGAGAGGGGGAAGCGCTGGGATTGAGGGCAATGAGAGGGGCACGGAAGGGTGCAATATTCGCCCTCACTCTCTCTGCCTTTTCTCTCGGAAGGCTGCCAGCTCCTGCAGGGAAGGAGGGTGGTTGGTTGAGGGAGAGCACCGAGAACGAGGGAAAGGCATGGGAGCTGGGGGCGAGCATGAGGGCAGGGGCAAAGGTCCTCTCTCTTTCCCCCTATGGTCTTCTCTCGTTCCCCCTCGCGTCCTCGCGCTATCCCCCTCCCGTCTTCTCTCGTTCCCCCTCGCGTCCTCGCGCTATCCCCCTCCCGTCTTCTCTCGTTCCCCCTCGCGTCCTCGCGCTATCCCCCTCCCGTCCTCTCTCGTTCCCCCTCCCGTCCTCTCCTTTCCCACGCCCTTACTCTCTGCCCTTTCCTTTCCTCTCCCACACTCTCTAAACCGCGCCGTTGCATCGCCCTCTGCGAGTTGCATCGCGCGCGGAGCTCGCGCGCCGCCGCGGCATACCGATCGGACGCGTTGAGCATGGTGCGCGATTCCACTCCGATAGTGGTACTCCGGTCGTGCTTCTCCTCTTGTAATACCGCTCCCCTGCTACCCCATTCGCTAACCCCCTCGCTTCGCCTAACTCCCTCAGCATGTCTCTCGTCTGCCTCTCGTGCCCAACTGGAACCGAGGGTTGGGTAAAAGCGTGGGTGCGGTCGTCGCTACAAGCACTGGTGAAGCGCGATGCAGAGCATGGGAAAGGGGGCATTGGAGCGATGTGGTATCCTATCCCCTTATCCCACCAACCACTCCCATACCTGCTGTTCCCGACACGCGGATGGCGATGGGACACGCGTATGGTGGGAATGGCGCGACGGGGCTCAGACGGATGGATAGGGGGGAATGGCGAGTTTCCCTCTCTGCTCTATCCTCGCTGAGTAGGGCTCAGTGGCTTGCGCGTGGAGTGCGAACCCTGAGCATGCCGAGAGTGCACGTATGGTCGCACTTCAAGCCCTGTTTTTGCGACGCTCTATGGCATTTAGGCAGCTATGCCTACTTGCCCGTGATTACTAGTCTAGAAACTGCCGATGGACTTGGAACTTGAGTTTGCGGGAGGGAGGTGGGCGAGGGTTTGGTAGGTGGTTTGTCGCAGAGGTTGGAGGGTGTACAGTAGGTTGTTGCACCAATCAGAAAGCATAAGACGGTTTTTGGAAGTGTCGCCCGTCAAAACGGGTTACCATGTCAACTTCTGTTTGGGGTCAAAAACTTAGGTCTTTTAAATCCTCGCTTTATTATTTTTGTTAAATGATTAGTTTGATTACAATCTGCAAACATGGACAACACAGGCTGAGCTCTCATATTGGAGAACACAAAACAATAATCCTGTTATTGAGTCCCACAAGTCTGGTGTGCGCAAGTGCCTTGTGGATGAGTGAGTGTATGTGTGTGCCCATATAGTGTATAAGGGTTGTGCGCCATGCACACTCAAGGGAGGGTGAGTTAGTCGGAATCTACGAGCTCCCAGCGGCACTGAGAGAGGTCCAGCACTGCGATCTCCCCGTCGTCGTACAGAAACTGACGCGCAGTGGGGGAGAGAGCGCAGTGGGGGAGAGAGACAAGGGCACGTGGGCAACAGGATTGACAGAGGGAGGGAGAAACGGATGGGAAATGGGGAGGTATGTGACAGAAATCTCTGGCAAAGGGAAAGGAGATTTCAGGCAGGAGCATGACAATGGCATGGCAATGGCATGGCAATGGCATGGCAATGGCATGGCAATGGCATGGCAATGGCATGACAGCGGAATGACAGCAATCATGGGGTCGCAGAGTTAGATAAAGGGAAGAAGTGGCATGGCAAGAAGGAGCAAGCGGCACGGTGCAAGATGGCAGGGCAGGTACCTCGATGGTGAACTTGCTGTGCGCCACTGACAGCACCGTGCCGTTGCGGAACCTAAAGGTTGCACACACGCAGGGGAGGTGTACAGCACAGCACACACGGGGGCGGGGGGGGGTTGGGGTTGGGGTTGGGGGGGCACCGCAGCACACGCAGGCGACGGGTAGTGGGGGAGAATGGGAAGGAGCGAGCACGAGAAGCGGGCAGAGAGGCGGGGGTGAGACGCGTGTGAGCACGGGTTGTATGTCGTGTGGCGAACATCTCACCCTGGATGGCTTTCCTTGCACGCCAACCATACCCCCTCTCACCCCCTCTCTCTCCTCCCGATCCTCCACCATCCCCCCCCCCCAACCCATCCAATCCCCCCTTTCCCCCCCCCCTGCCTCCCCTCTTCCCCCCAAAGGCCCCCATGCTGTACACCTGCGGAGGTGCAGAGCCCGCCCTCTGAAGCACACCTGCTGCCCATCTACTCTTACCTCACTCCCCCCCAAGCCCCCCCTTCCTTCCGCCCCCCCCCACAATCCCCCAGGAGCCCCCCTGGGCGCACCTGTGGAGCAGCGGCGCCCAGATCCTGATCTGCTCGCCCTGCAGGTCGCGCACTGCGCGGTGCGTCAGCGGCTGGGGGGCAGGGGACAAGGGGCAGAGGGGAGGGGGCAGAGGGCAGGGGGCGGGGGGCAGGGGGGAGGGGGCAGGGGGCAGGGGGCAGGGGCAGGGGAAGCGGCGAGCGGGGAGGGGGTACATGAGTGCAGGCAGCAAAGCACGAACCCGTGCATGGTGAGGCCGCACAGGTCACCCAGTGCACTGCAAGCGAGGGGCTGGTGGGGGGAAGCAAACGGGCACGGGGAGAAGAGCGGCATGATGCGGTGAGAATGGTGAGCATGGTGAGCATGGTGAGCATGGTGAGTGGGCGGCTGTGGGGGTTGGGGGGGCGGGACGATGATGGTGAGAGAGAGGATGCGTGGTAGCCGCAGGGAGGGCAGTGCAGGAAGTGATAGGTGGGTGTGGAGCACACAAGAGTAGGAGCACTCTCACTTACATCATCAACACCACACAGCGCCAACACTACTTTTCCCTCCCACTGTACCTCAGAGCGCCACGAGAAGGGCAGTGAGTAGCAGGCAGTGGGCGGCACTGTTTGTCTCTCATAGCGCCACCGCTCCGCACGCAGTGACATGTGCTCCACGTCACCATCGTCGTATGCCACCTGGCGGTGAGGGGGGGCAGAGAGAGGGAGCAGGATGAGATGAGATGCCCGAGCGCATGCTGGCCATTCATGAGAGCGAAGGACCCCACCGTACCTCAGGGCACGGGGCAGAGAACCAGAGGAGGGTGGGGCAGGCAGGGCGGTGGCGTGCATGACAGGGGTCAAGGCAAGGCAGGGGTCGAAAGGCGAACGAGCCGTGGGCAAGGGTGGCGGCAATGGCAGAGGTGGGCGTGTTGGGGAACCAGTGGCAGTCGGAACGGACCCTGTGCTTGCGAGTGGACGTGTCGAAGGCCGCGATGACCCCTTTGAAGAACCTGCACCGTGGACAGGGACAGGGGAGCGTGGAGAGCACGTGGCAAGCACAGAGAAGGGCGCACAAGCGCAGGGGTTGGGGCGGAGTGAGGGGAGCAGCGATGCACGTGGCGCCATGAGTGACAACTCGACACACCGGGGGGTGAGGGGAGACGAGCATATGAGAGGAGGTGAGGAGAGGAGTGTGGGTGGTGTGGCACATGGAAGATGGGTCAGCAACATGCGATCAGCTACTCCCTTCCATCCCCCCCCTGCCCACCCCCCGTCCTCCCCTGTGACTCTGTCCCCTAAACTACTGCTCCCCTGCACCACCCCCCCCCACTCACTTCTGCTCCAGCGGCCACCACACCTCCACCCGCCGCCCCACCATGGCCTGCTGCCGGGCCACCGCCTCCTGCTCCGCCCGGCTCAGTCCCGAACCTGGCCGCTGCGCCGAGCCAAACAGCTTCGGCGCATCCGCTAGGCTTGGGAAGGCTGCACCATCAGGGAGCCTCTTGCCCTTGGCAGCAGTAGCAACCCCCGCTGTGCCGCGCGCAGCAGGAGTGGCAGCAGCAGCTCCTGACCCACTCCCCCGCTTCGCCCCCCTGCCTCTCCCACCCGCACTCTCCCCTGCGCCCTCGCCCTCCGCCCCATCCTCTGCTGGCCCTCCAGCTTCCCCCGCGTCCCTCCCCTTGGAGGCCCCCCCCTCGCCCCCTCTGGCGCCCCTGCCCGGCTGTGAAGGCTCGAGCTGCCACTGCTCGCGCCCCAGCACCACGTGCTCCTCGTCACCGTCGTCGTACCGCACCTGCAGGCACACGGGGCCAGGGGGAAGCATCACAGAGGGCGGACGGGGACAGGAGGAGGGGGCGTGGGGAGGGCCAGGTTGAAGGGAGAGGAGAGTTGGCTGTTTGCAGACAAGGTGGAGTGAACAACGCGCCCCTAGTCACATGCCTAGCCTCTTCTCAGACTAGGTGGAGTGAACAATGCGCCCCTAGTCACATGCCTAGCCACTTCTGCTGCCACTCACATGCACTAGCCTTTGCAAGTACCACTAGCTTGCTGCGACTCACATGGTGCTTCATGGTGGCAGGGTCGAAGCCAATCACCGTTCCCGAAAAGAACCTGCCGCAGGGGATGGGCGAGGGGCATGGGTAGCAGCAGGGGATGGGTGGGCGAAACGAAAACGATGGGCGGCGGAGGTGATGTGCAAGGGAGGAGAGTGGAGGCAGGGCAAGAGAGCAAAAGTATTAGGGCGGAAGGCATCAGCAAGGAGGGCGGATGAATGACGCGAGATCTCTCCTCTCGCAACCGATTCCTCCTGCGCACCCAACCACTCACTCCCTCTCCCCTCCTCCAATGACCCCCTTTCCTCTCCCCCACTCACTCTCCTTCCTGCCCCCCTCCACCTGGCCCCCCAGCACTGACCTCTGTTCCAGCGGCCACCAGAGCTGCACGCGCTGCCCCACCAGCGCCTGGCTCAGCCGCTCCAGCATGGCGTCGCGCAGCCGCTCGCCCTCCTCACCCCCCCCGCCAACCCCCCATGCTCCGCCGCGCCTCCTCCCCCGCCCCCGCCCGACTCTCCCTCCTCCCCTTGTGCCCACACTGCCGATACCGTTCCTCTCTGTTGCCACTCCGCTGCTCTCTGCTACCACAACACCCCCCCTCCCTCCCCTCCCTCCCCTGCCTCCCCTTCCCCCCCTCACCACGCGGGTCATCGCTGCTGCTACCACCCTCGCTGCCGCCCTCCTGCTGCTGCTGCTGCTCCCTCTACCCGCCCCTGCTGCTGGGCCAACGCCTGCCATGCCCCCACCCCTTCCCTTGTTACCAACGGCAGCACCACTGGCAGCACCACGAGCACCAGCAGCAGCACCACCCGCAGCAGCAACAATGCCAGCCCGCCTGGCAGCTGTGGCCTCCCCCTCCCTCCCACTGCTGCATCTGTCCCCCCTCCCTCCTCTCCCACCCCCCCTGCCTCCCCTGCCTCCCCTCGCTCCTCTCCCGCCTCTCCCTCCTCGGCCTCTTCTCGTTCCTTCCCCCCTCCCTAGCCCCCCTCTCCCTTCTCCACTGCGAAATCCTTCCTCTTCCGCACCTCCTTCCCTCTCCTGACGTGTCACGTCAGTCCAACCAGCAGTGTCCACGTGTGCACCCACTGCCACCACCCCATTGCCGGTGGCGGACCCCCTTTCAGGCACGTCGTCTGGAGTCACACCCCTCCCTGCTGCCACGCCCTCTGCACATGCCTGGGCTGCTACTGGGCAGGCCATGGCATGTGCGCACATGTGCACCGCAGATAAATGGTGGGTGCAGCAGAGGCCGTTCGCCATGGCAGGACCATGCATGTGGTGGTATGGGGCATGGGTGTGATGATGCATGCAAGCTGCAGGGTAGGCGACACCACATGCTGTTGGGATGTGCCCACATGGATGTGCATCAACATGGGCATGGGCATGGGCATGGGTGCGGGTATTGGTATCGGTATGCGCGTGCATGTGACCGCATGCATCGTCTGAAGCAACGGGGCCACGAGGGACGGGGGGGAAGAGTGAGAGGGCCTGCTTCTGCCACCCACTCCTCGGCACCGTCTGATCTGCTCCCTCCAATGCCACGCCGTGCAATCGTGGCCGTTGATCTGCTGCCATGTCCCACATCTGCTCGTGGCCTAACACTGCGTGACTCCTTTCTCCTGCGTGCTTGCCAGCGGCTGCGTGTGCAGCATTGCACCCGCATGCTGCCATCTCATGCACCAGCTCAGCCTCAGCTGCAGGCCCTGCCCGCAGGGGCAGCTTCCTCCGCCTCTGGTATTCCCGGCCATACATCATCGCTCTCTGCTCTGCCGCCGCCTTCTCTTCACGTTCCTTCACCTCACCTTCTTCCCTCTCCTTCACCTCACCTCCTTCCCTCTCCTTCACCTCACCTCCTTCCCTCTTCCCCTCACCAGAGCGGGCCCTCACTTCTGCCTGTGCCTCCTCCGGCTCTCTCTTTACAATCACATCCGCTCTAGGCCGCTTGCGTGAGTACACCCTTTCTGCAAGCTGTCCCCCGAAATTATGTTCCAACCCAACGCCAGCCTCTTGTGCCCTTCCGCTTCCACCACCCCCTGCCCCTCCTGCTCCGATAGCAGCAGCAGCAGCAGCAGCAGCAGCAGCACGCTTAGTGGTAGCATTAGCCCCAGGCGAACAGGGGTCAGCAGCAACAGCAACAGGTGCGTTGGAGCCACCAGCACCAGCAGCAGCAGCAGCACAGAGGTGGCAGTGAGAGGCGGGACAGCCCAAGATCCACTCCCTGCCAATGCCCACACCCACGCCCCCCTGCCCGCCAGGCAGCCCACCCCCTGCCATGGCAGCACGCCCAGCAGCCACCGACGTCACACACGACGCCTCCTGCGCCCTCACCTGCCCGCCCTCCCCCCCACCGCCCTCCCCACTGCGCCAGGCTGCCTCCCCCGTGCTGGCTCCCCCCACACTGCGCGCGACCCCTCTGCCCCCCCTTGCCTGGCGCCGGCGCCTGGCGCTCTGCAGCAGCGGCACCGGGGTCCAGCCGGGCCCGGGAATGAGGCGCCTGCTGGGGGGCCGCTCCTCCCCACCACGCTCGACCCCAGGCTGCTGCTCCTCCTCCTCCTCCTCCTCTTCTTCCTCCTCCTCCTCCTCTTCCTCTTCCTCTTCTTCCTCTCCTTCCTCTTCCTCTTCCTCTTCCTCTTCCTCTTCCTCTTCCTCTTCCAATTCCTCTTCCTCCTCCTCCTCCTCCTCCTCCTCCACCTCCTCTTCTTCCTCCTCGTCCGCCACCTGTGTAACTTCCAGAGTCGTCGCCCTGTCAAGGGGAGCACTTCCCTTCACGAGAGTGTCTCCGTCTGCGTGCAGGTCTGCCAGCTGCCGCCTCTTGGGCTGCTTGCCTCTCCCTCTCCCTCTACCTCTGCCTCGGCCTCTGCTGCTCCAACCTCCACCTGTCGGCCAAGCATTGATCACCGGCGCAGCACCCCTTGCACTGCCTCTGCCACTCCCCATCTTGCCTCCCACTCCCCTTCCTCTACCCACCTGCCCTCTGCCTCTACCCATCTCTCTGCTTCCCCGCCCTCCGACCTCCCATATGCATGTCCCTCTCCCTCTTCCTCTCCCTCTCCCTCTCCCCCGTACTCTCCCCACTCCCACTGCTCTTTGTTGCCCCACACAGAACCCTCTTCCCCTTCCTCTCCCCTTCACTCCGCCCCTGCCTCCTCCTCTGCCCCCTGTTGCAGCTCTCACATGCACGCCCAGCACATTCCTTCCCATCCCTCCCCTCGTCTCTCCAGACCCCTTTCCCCCCCTGCCTCCGCGGTTCCCCTTCTCCCCTGCAGCGCCAGAGGGGAAGGTTCCCCCTGGATGCGGGGGGGTGGCAGGTGTGGGGGCGGTGGCAGGCGGAGGGGGGAGAGGGGGCAGCGCGGGGGCGGGGAAGGGGAGGGGGAGGGTGAAAGGGGAGATGGTGCGGGTGGCGAGGAGGCGGCGGCAGTTGGGCTCCCCGCAGTGGCACTCCTTGGGCTGCAGCTCGAACCCTATGAACCTGCCACCGCGTCAGGGGGGCGGGCGGGAGAGAGAGCGACGGTAGCAATTGAGATCAATCCAGTGACCATCCCTGCGCTGAAGCTTGAACCCTCACATGAGTGCGTGAGTGTGAAAAAAGGGCGGAAGAGGAGGGAAGAATGCGGTAGGGGAAGGTTGTGGACAGGAAAAAAGGGCACCCTTGAGAGGATGCTGGCATGACACGAGATGAGAATCAAGGAGAGTGTACGAGTAGCCATGGGATTTCGACATTGGTAGCACGCGCGAGCGATGCCAACTCACTGATAGTCGTAGGTGAGGAACTGCCCCTTGCTCACTGGCCGCAGTGTGCACACTCCTATGCGCACCTCCCCATCCATCTGCCTGCTCACGCACCCGCAGCAGCACCAGCAGCAGCAGCAGCAGCAGCAGCAGAAGCAGCAGCAGCAGCAGCAGCAGCAGAAGCAGCAGCAGCAGCAGCAGCAGAGACAGAAGCGAGAAAGAGCACACGGGGAATGAGAGCGGGCAGGTGGGAGATGAGGCGTGCAAAGAACCCCCTTGAGGCCGCTCACCACTATTTTCCTCATCACACCAGCGCACACCATTTCCACGGCACAGCATCAAGGCGCAGGTGAGGGCTCACCACTTCTGCAGCTCGCAGTTGGGGTTGCAGGAGTGGTTGATGAAGCGCGAGAGGTTGCCCTTGTAGCGCGCGTCGATGATCAAGTTGCTGCTCACCTGCGCACACAGCGCAGGGTGCAGGGCGCAGCGCAGTTCATAGAGGCAGAACGAGGGACGCCAGGATGACACAAGACGAGAGGAGCGACGGGGTGCGAGGAGCTGGAAAAGGCGAGATGGCATGGCAGAATGATACGTGTGGCTTGTGCCTAATAAGTCGCACTGTAAGCTGCTGCTTCCTGCACTGAACCGCACGGCAGTGCAGCGCAGCACAGGGGGGGCAGCAGCGCAGCACAGGAGGGGCAGGAGCTTGCCTCGCAGAGGTAGAAATCGGTTTCGCCTGCGGCCTTCATGTCCCACAGGCGCTGCTCGCACGTGGCGTCGTCTATCACTGCTCGCCCCGCGCACGGACCAGGAGGGGAAGGGGGTGCACGAAGAAGGGGGTTACACGGGAAAGGGTACATGCCCCAGGGAAAAGGGTGGCAGGTGAGGTATTCTCAGAGGCATAGGTGAGGGTCGAAAGAGAGCTCAAGGCAGACGATGGGCTGCACGTGGATGGAGCACGCAGGATCAATTTCTGTGATCCACATTCTGTCTTGCTCACCTTGCCCCACGTACTCCATCACATAGCAGCCCGCGGGTAGGTCCTCATTCGCCTTGAGGCCCCACCCACACTTCTCCGTCTGCACCCGGCAGCAGCACATAGGGAAGGGGGAGGTGCAGGGCAGAGTAAGCGAGATTTGAACGGGTATTGGAAGGGGGGACGGGGGCATGAAAGGGGAGAGATGGAGGGGAGTTGGTTCATGCTGGGGGTGGCTGGTTGGGGCAAGAGAGGGTGGAGTTGGGGTGGCGGAACGAGGGGACGCACCCTGCAGCAAGGGGTGGGGGGGCGAAGACACGCACCCTGCAGCAAGGGGTGGGGGGGCGAAGACACGCACCCTGCAGCAAGGGGTGGGGGGGCGAAGACACGCACCCTGCAGCAAGGGGTGGGGGGGCGAAGACACGCACCCTGCAGCAAGGGGTGGGGGGGCGAAGACACGCACCCTGCAGCAAGGGGTGGGGGGGCGAAGACACGCACCCTGCAGCAAGGGGTGGGGGGGCGAAGACACGCACCCTGCAGCAAGGGGTGGGGGGGCGAAGACACGCACCCTGCAGCAAGGGGTGGGGGGGCGAAGACACGCACCCTGCAGCAAGGGGTGGGGGGGCGAAGACACGCACCCGCCAGAGCTTGACTTTGCGCGAGGGGCGGCGGTGGAAGGGCGCGTTCTGGCACGACGACGCACAGCCGCAGTGCCGGCTGCACGCCACGTGCAGAATGCTGGGGGGCGTTGGGGGGAAAGAGGGGGGAAGGGGAGGAGGGGGGAAAGAGGGGGGAAGGGGAGGAGGGGGGAAAGAGGGGGGAAGGGGAGGAGGGGGGAAAGAGGCGGGGGAGGGGGGGAGGGAGAGCGGACGAGTATGAGAAACGAAAGGGATGTGTGTGGGGAGTGAAGAGGGCAGGCAGAGGGTCAAGGGGGAGGAACGCCGCATACGCAGTGAAACGAGGCGTGGAATCAGGTAGCACGCACCGGCACAGACACGTCTCGCCGCAGATGGGCAAGCTTCGCCTCCGCTTCCGCCTCTTCTTCGCCTTCCCTCCCTGCTGGCTTGTCTTGATCGCGCTCGCCTTCCCCTTGCTTCCCCGCCACTCGCCATCTCCCTCATCCTCCGCTTCCTCCTCCCCCTCCTCCTCCGTTTCGTAATCCTCGTCATCTCGCTCCTCCTCCTCCTCCTCCTCCTCCTCCTCGCTCTCCTCTGCTCCATCGCCCCCCCCCATCGCATCATCGTCTGAGCTCCCATCATCACCTCCCTCCTCTTCCTCCTTTTCATCCTCCTCCTCCTCCTCCTCCCCCTCGTCCTCCTCCTCCTCCACCACCAGCCGCTTCCACCCCCTGCCGGTGATGCTCTTGCTCTGCCGCCCCCCCGCGCCCTTGTGGCACTCGCACTGCACGGATTCCGCCGCCGACGGCTTTGCAGGCCGCTTCACCAGAAACTCGTCTGCACGCGGAGACGGGGGGACGCGGGGTGGTTGGGGATGGGGGATTGGGGGGGGGGGAGAAGGGAGAATGGTGGGAGAGGGTGAACTGACTCACGGACAGAATTAGCGAAAGGGGCTCGCACTTATGCGACAGTAATCGCTGGGGTTAGAGCTGGCTAGCGCTGCAAAGAACCTCCCTGCTGCTCGCCGTTGAGCCGACGTGCACATCCCCTTGAGCCAGTGCATCATGTTCAGCGGTACTCGTCAGTAAGCGGACTCAAATTGATAAGCGAATTCCCCTCTTAAACCGGACTCAAATCCATAGGCGGATTCCAGTCAGCATGCGGTTTCCAGTACGAAAATCAGCCAAAGAGCAAACTTCTAGCAGACCGACCGCTTTCAGTCAGAAACAACGAGACATGGCGGGTAGCGATTGCAGGACAACATGGTTCGTCACAGCGAGAGTATCCCGCGAGTCAGGATGCGACACCAGCGGCCATGGAATGTCACAAAAATGCCTTTTGAGTCGACTCAGAAACCAGCGGCCATGGAATGTCACAAAAATGCTGCTCGCTCGACCAATCCGTGGGCTGCGTTGCGGATTGACGGAATGTAGAGTAGGCGATCCCAAGGACTGCAGGAGGACGTACAGCATTGGGGATCCAACGCATCTGACGGGAAACAAGGCTTACTTCGTCGGATGGGTACATAGTCTGGGAGCGGAAACCCCGACCCGTGCTGCGGCACGATGGCGTCACCCCTCGCCATGGCCCGCGACGGCCGATGTGCGTGGCGCGCTGTTATTGCCAGCTAATGACACGATTGGTCGTGCTGAGCACCTCTTCCCCTACAGCACTAGACAAGAAGCAACACACGTGACGTCCCCTGGATGCAATCGCCGTTCCTGCTCCTGGCAGCATTGTGATCAGGTGAGCTTGCATCTTGGCGTTCTGGCAAGGGTTCGGTCAGGTGGAAGAGGCAGGCAGCTAGAATGCTGGTGGCAACACCTGCAACAGAGGCGCAGCGATTGGCGAACAGACAACAGAGAACAAAAAATCAACAGTCGATTCCCGCCAGAACTCAAATCCGGTAAGAGCGGCTTCCGAGTAGCGGATAAACTCGCTTGAAGCTCCAGAACTCATAACATGTATACAGCCTTTTGTTTCTGTCTCGAATTTAGGCCAAATGCCCAACCTTCTATGGACATGAGGTTGGGTTTTTGACAGTTCCATATATTTGCAGCGTAGTCAGCGAGCTATAAATACCCCTGAAAGCGGTTATGGACATAGAATCACTACCAAAGGCTGGGCTGTGGGCATCGCTGGAGGGTTTCACTGTGCTCACATCCCAAGTGGACTTCGCTTTAGTGTCTTCGCCCTTGCACTGTTGACACTCTTCACTCCAACACGTGCCTTCTCTTCCTTCTCCATTCCTCCTGCCTCCTTTAACCCATCCTCTGCAGTCTTTCCATTGTCCCTAACACACTTAACACCCTCCCCTTTTCTTGCTGGGTCGATGCCTTGCGCGCAGCAACCAGGGGAGCAGGGGGAAACTGGGGACAAGGGATGTGAAATGTGCACAGCGACAGTAGGGGAGAGTACTAGTGGGGAGTGCAGTGGCGAGAGCGAATCAGGGAGGAAAGAAAAGGTGGGGCTAGAGCGGGGGATGCAGGGGGGAAACGAAGTGCGGCAGGAGTGCAGACGTGGGGAAGTAGCGCAGCGTGGGGAAGGAGGCCCTCTGTGCTCCATGCTGTGAGCAATCTCTGCTGCAAGCAGCTGCTTCCGAGTGGGACTGAGGCCTGGTGATAGCACCCGTAGGCCTGGGGATCTGCGGGTGCGTGTCGGCTTCCTGAAGAGGCGAGAGGAGGCATGGGGTGGAGGAATCTGGAGGGACAGAGAGAGCTGCACGTGCAGAGAGTCACATGGCTTGAGGCGGGAGGAGGCTCTGCTCTGAAGAGGGGACTGCAGCAGGGAAGGGCGTGCGGGCTGCGAGGCAGAGGGGCAATCACGTGCATTGAGGCTGTCTGGAGGAACCGCAGTACCTTGCTCTCCTGTGCTCTCCTTGTGTCCACTACCCGTTGTAGGATTGATGCTCCCCTTGCCTGACGACCAATCATCCATCCCATATATTTCCTCTAGCTCGCATGTTTCATTCACGTTCTCTTCTCCTTTCTCTCTCACAGTGTCAACAGCAATCTGTCCCCGCTGTGAAGGTTCAATGCTTGGCACACGTTCTTGCTGGAATCCTCTGTCGGTAGCACTCTCCTTCTTCCTGGTTTCGACGCTCTGTGGGACAAGCTTCACAAGAGGCTGCGGTTCCTGTTGCTCCTGCTGCTGCTGTTGCTGCCGCCTTTGTTGCTCCTGCTGCTGTTGCTGATGCCGCTGCAGCTCTAGTTGTTGCTGTTGCTGCTGCTGCTGCTGTATGTACATGTGCTGCTGCTGCAACACGGGCCAGTCGATGCCAGCATTGGCAGGGAGAGGAAGAGATCCAGGGAATGGCATGCTGTTGCTGCTGGCTCCGCTGCTGGTCCTGGTGTTGGTGTAGGAGGAAGGGAAGAAGCCATGGGAGAGAGCGAAACCAGGCATCCACACTGTCTCATGCCAGAAGAACGGGGGGGACAGATGGGGGTATGAGTCTACAGGGTAGCTGGGCTGTTGCTGATTGGTTGGTACATGCTGGGATGACGTGGAGGCTATAGCGGTTGGCCTGGACTGCACTGACGCATATGTGCTCGCGCGCAGTTCTGCTTGCCCATACAGCACCACGGGTGGGGCTGATGAGGAGCTGTGGGCAGAAGAGGGGCGCTGCAGATGCAATGAAGACGACATGCCGCCACGTCCCAGGGATTCGCTGCAATCACTCGCCCACTGGCAGTCGGCGCTGCCTGCTGCTCGCTCCGCTAAACTGCTCCACTTGGGAGGCTGGGCAACCTGCGTGCAGGACTTGGTTGGGTCGATGGACATCCCCTGCATGGCCTGCAAGCACTCCTCTACTGTTCTTCCACCAGCATCACCATTTCTGCTGTCTGCCACGCTGGCATCCCCACTGCCGTCAGCCCGCAAGCTACCCGTTGTCCCGTTGCTTGTGGGCCATCGTTTGGCGGGCCATGAGTGAGCAGCAGCTGCAGTCGCCTGGGGGACAGCTGGGAACGGTGCAGGTACTGAGGAGCCTTGCATGCTGCATGGGGTGGGTGGCGTGGAACTCATGGGACGCAGAGCAGCCATAGGCAGCTGCAGCGACATGGGCATGGGGATGGCAGGGATGGATCCCATGGATCCCATGGATCCCATGGATCCCATGTGCCATGGACCCATTATGTCATGTCTGATGGGCCAGAAGCCGTGGCCTCCTCCTGGCATCCCTGCTGCACTGGCAGCGCTCGCAGCGTTCGCAGCCTGCGCCACAGCTGCAGCCACAGCCCCGATGGGAGCGGAGCGGAGCGGCGAAGACGGGTGATGGCAGAGCGCCCACGCGGCTGCATCCATGGAAGTTGGAAGCCTGTGCGAGCGAGCGCGAGTGGGGGAGTGCTTAGGCGTGTACGTTGCTGATTGGTGGTACTGACGCTGAGAGAAGTGCTGGTTGCCGTCTCTAGCGAAAAAACGAGAGCCATGAGCTCGCTGTCGTGTCCCTCCAGCATGATGTTCCCAAACTGATCCACCCATGCTTGCCTCAGGTCCATGATTCGCCTGGCCTTGCCCTGGCGACCGGATCCTCGAGTTGGACACCAGTAGCAACGTCCGCGACTTCCTGCCTTTTTTCTTCCTCCGCCGCCTCTTCTTCTCATCCGCTGCTTGCGGAGGGCTCTTCCTTGACCCCTCTTCCCACAGCTCGCCTTTCCGTAGCAGCCGTAACCCGCCATCTGCGAGATCGCTCAAGGACCACCCCCCCTCTTGAGTGTCGCATTGAGGGTCACTATCGAGATCATCATCGTGAACCAGCGGGGAGATAGACGACGGAATCTCGCTCTCCTGCTGCTGGGATGATGGGTCTGCTGACTCCACAATCGCTTTCGAGTTCCGTATCTCAGAGTAAGGGATCGAATCCAGACCCTCGGGATCAACGGCGAGGTCCTCCGACACTACGCACAGGCTGTCTTGCTTGACGGCATCGCATGCTTGCAGTCCTGGACCGCTCTTCAGAAGCGAAGCACCACTTCCAGCGTCAATGTCAAGGACATCGGTCGGTAAATAGAAAGAACTGTCGAATCCATCGTAGGATCTGTTGTTTTCTTCAGGAGCAAGTGACTGGATCGGACGTAATACAGACTTCTCGGTCAGCGTGAAAGACCCAGGCAAGACCCGTGCACTCGAGCTCGATGGCGAGGGAGCTAGCGTTTGCGCCATGGAGATAAAATGAGTAGAGGACTCGCAAAAAATGGCGCAATGACACCACGGCCAGTTCGTCTGAGATGCAGTGAGAGAGCTGATGAGCTTATACGTCGGGCAGGCGAGACAGCCATTGTTGCGATGTGAAGATTCAACAGAAAGGCTTTCGGCCGAAATGACAATGTGATGTGGGTCAACCTTTCCAGCCAAAGGTGGCTCTCTGGGATTCCGAGGATGGCGAAAGCGCGACAGTGGACGTTGCGATGCGATGCGATGAGCCGCTCGTCGTCCTCGACTGATTTTTCGCCACGTGGCAGGAAGTTTGCTTTTGGAGCTTCAACAGCAGTTTCTGTGGTTTGACAAGTGAACCACAAAGACTTTCGCCCGTCTGGTAACCAATAATATCTCCTTTCCCTCACAACGGTGCCCGGGAAATACGAATTAAACGAAACCACGCGAAAAGTCGGCCGAACCACAGAGGTGAAGGGATCCAGTTTTTCGCGAACCTGCTTGATCTGCTCTGGAACCACCATGGCCAAACCAGCAGGAACATCGCTCTTGTTTTCATTTTCGATTCTTCACAAACATACTACCTGCTGACACATGATGGTGAGATGGTTTTGGGGATCAGTCGAGGGCTAGCTGTCATCGAAGACACTGATCGGATCTAACATCAAATCTTTTCAGTCTGACATGGAGATGGCGGAACGCGATAACCATGAAGCACTTGGGCGGAAGCCCATTCTCCAGCATGATCCTGGCCATGACGAAAACGGTGGCTTGCACACGATGGTCGAAGGCGCTGTTCGGTTGGTCACGATGCTGAATTTTATGAAGGTTCGTTTACCAACTCTTCGCCAGTGCAATCGGGAACTTAGATTTTCTTCCTAACTTGAATGCAAAGTCTAGGTGGAACTCGGCGAGTACAAGTCTCTCAAGTCCAAAGAACAATGGCGCTCAATCGGCGTTGAGTTTCTTGCCACTCTTCTGTTTGTTTATCTGGGATGTGGCTCTGTCGTGGCTTCAGGTGAAATCTCTGTCGCATTCGAAGTATGTTAACTAACCACCAAGCTTCAAGTCATCCACCACAAACTGTATCCTCAGGGGTGCTTGAAACTGAGTTGACATCGGCAAGACTCACTGTGATCGCTCTGGCCCATGGATTGGCTATTATCTTTCTGGTGGCGAGTACCGGCGCTATCTCTGGAGGTCACATCAACCCAGCAGTCACACTTGCCTTCGTTGTTGCTAGAAAGGAGAATATCATACGCGGCTCCCTTTACGTAGCCGCTCAGGTAAGAATCCATGCAGCGTCTAAAGTTTACAGATAAGCTTTCAAAGCTGACTACCTGGCCGCCTGCAGTTGCTTGGAGGAATCTGTGGAGCTGCTCTGTTGGGGGCGTCAATCCCTGCAGCAGACCTGGGTCAACTGGGCACCCACAGCCTTGGCCATGGCACATCTGTGGGCAACGCTTTCCTTATGGAGCTAATGCTGACGTTCACTCTGGTCTATGTAATCTTTGGTGTTGCTGTGGACCGGCGAGGACCAGGTATGTATCCTGAAATATGGGATGTGATGCCATGTGTCAAGACACACCTGACATGTGATTGCTATGGCTGACTGACAGGTGTTATTGTGTTAAAATTATATAAGTTATAATTTAATATAGGCTTGGTAGGTTGTTACTGAACCTTTCTGTAGGGGGTACAAACCCCTCCTTGTACTCCCCTCTCTTCCTAATCCAACACCTCTTTCTTCTCGACTTTCCTCCTACTCCTAGATCCGTTTTTCCTAGCGCCGTTCCATGGCGGCCTTGCTCCTATCCTAGCTGAGCTAGTGTCCTAACTTTAGGGACCTAGCATCCTAAGTTCCTAAGATGGTATCAGAGCAGGAGATCCTCCCTGTTGGATCGCCTCCTCACGCTTCCGCAATTTACTCCTCACTCTCATTAGCTCGAGCGGCCATGGCGGCCGCGTTTTGCTGCAGTGGCGACGTCGCGCTGCCACTGGCCGCGTCGTGCCGCGACCGGCTCGACGCGCTGCCGTGGCGTCGGGCCGTCGTTCTGCAGTCGCAGCGTCGACGTCCCGCTGCGGCATCGACGCTGCCTCTGCCGTCGCGACGTCGACGTCTTGCTGCAGCGTCGACGGCGCCGTCGGGCCGCAGCCGGTTGCGTCGACGCTTTGCCGTGGCAGCGTCACCTTGCTGCCGTTGCAGCGTCGTCGTGCCGCCACAGCGTCGACGCCGCGCCCTGGCGGCGTCGTCATGCTGCCGCGGCAGCGTGGATGGGCGGCAGCGGGCAGCACGCCGTCGTAACCGCCACCTGCCCGCCCTCCTGCCAGTAAGCGCCGCGCCACTTATGGCGCGTCGCTGAAGACTCGCCTCGCCCCGCCCCCTCCCCTCCCCCCCCACCTGCACCTGCTTCCCCTGCATCCCCCCCTTTCTTGCTGCAGCCGATGACTGCCATGTGAGGGACCTCTCCACCGCCGAGGAGACAGGACATGCCGCCGAGAGGGCGGGGGCCGCCGCACCAGCCTCTGTCGTTCGAGCCGCCGGCGCCGCCGCTGTTGCCGCAGGCCTGGAGCCGCCGCACACCGCCGCCGCCGTCGCCGTCGTCACTGTCGCTGCTGCCGCCATTGCCGTCTCAAGGGGCCGTGAGACCTACCCTCTTCCGGAGTCGTTGCGGCTCCTGCTGGGAATGGGGGTGCTGGGCTAGGGGGTGTGGGTGTGGGTGTGGGTGTGGGGGTGTGCGTGGGCTTGACACTACCAAGCCTAGGGGGTGTGTTAAAATTATATAAGTTATAATTTAATATAGGCTTGGTAGGTTGTTACTGAACCTTTCTGTAGGGGGTACAAACCCCTCCTTGTACTCCCCTCTCTTCCTAATCCAACACCTCTTTCTTGACTTTCCTCCTACTCCTAGATCCGTTTTTCCTAGCGCCGTTCCATGGCGGCCTTGCTCCTATCCTAGCTAAGCTAGTGTCCTAACTTTAGGGACCTAGCATCCTAAGTTCCTAAGATATTGCGCCCATACCAATTGGCCTTGTGGTGGTGGTGGATCACCTGGTAGGAGTGCCATTTACAGGTGCATCCATGAACCCTGCCAGAAGCTTTGGCCCAGCCTTAGTGTCAGGGATTTGGCCGCATGAACATTGGGTGTACTGGGCCGCGCCTGCCTTGGGATCAGCACTAGCAGCTACCATCTACAGGTATGCTGGTTTGAGTTTAATTCAACATGATTGAGGAGGAACTAATGAATCTTTTGACACAGGTACATAATAATGGGATCAACCTACAAACCCCCAGAAGCAGCAGCAATGGTGGCACCTGGCAGAAAATCCATGTCAGCTGCAATCTGAGTGCATTATTCTCATGCAACACTTCGCCACTGATTTGCTTGGATGCGTAAGAGGAGAGCTGAGAAACATAGAAACAAATTTAGGACAAGGGAAGGGGAACATGCAGTAGTGAAAGCAGAAAGGGAGGGATGGATGGGTGAGTATGCTTGATACATTCGGAAGGACATGACAATGAAAGAAATGACAATGACAATGACAATGCTGAATTTGCCGCGATCGAAACTTGCACAAAGAAAAGGTGAAACAGCAACAAACTAAGCCATGAAGAGAAACAGTGAGAACAACTTGAGCATGAATGAATGGGTGGATGACGTTGGTATTCATCTTACTTTAGCCAGGAATTGCTACTGCCTCAGTCCCTCTTCTCGTACTTCAAAGGTTTAATCTCGCCTTTGCTCCCCTGACACTCAATGACGATGCTGTCGTGACTGAGTCCCTTATCAACCACAATAGATTCTTACCTGAAGTCTAGCTTCACTGCTTCTTTGGGGATTTTTTCTTTGCCTCTATTTGCCGTTTCTGCGAAGGACAGGACAGAGCACACAATGCTTAGCATAAATAACAACATTCAGCACTGCAGAACGGACAATCACATGGCACTTACCTTCATTTGCTCAAGCAATTCAGGCATCTTGGCCATATTTTCTGCAATCTTTTCCTGCCTGCATTCCAAAAGGTGAGTATGCAAAAGCAAATGTTTAACTGACACAAAAAAAGAGCAGCAATGGTGAATAGGGCCCAGGTGCATGAGTGGAGCAATGTGAAGGTCGTAAGTGAACTGAACATGGGCTGCTTGCACTTGACGTCTAATCAACCATGAGCTGACCTCTCTGCTGCCTCCTTGTCATGCTTGTGGCCCTTTATCTTGGTCTTCATCTCCTTCCGAGGAGCGTCATAAGGCCATTCCCTGACACGCCAACACATGCATGCGGACGAGACAGGCATCCACACATCTACCCCCACAGAAACGCATGCAGACACCCCGAGCATACAAATCGGCACACCCTCTCACGTCACCCCGGGCACCACACTCCAGCCCGAAGCCATCATACATATAGACCGCTCCGTTCCCCACCACAAAAAGGGCAGACACACACGCACCGCAAAGCAGCATACAAACACCAATGGGACTAGAGCGCTGAGAACAAGACGCAGCAGCGGGAAGTGGCGGATCACTGAGAATGCGGCATCGAGATCGCTAAAGACGTCCCCTGAAAAGTTCAGAGGGTGATACGACGAATCAAAGAGATCGAAGCGAAACCTACATGAGCACCATGGTCTTCACGGCAGGGAACCCACGCTGAATGCGCACGTCCCTTTTTTAGTGGCGACCGCCTTAGTCGCGAATCACAGCTCGAGCGGTTTCTGACCCGTTGAAGTTGTGCTCCTAACCGACACGTCATGAGGAACTTACTCGCCAGCCAGTAGAGCCTCTCGTCGCAATCGCGCCCGGTTCTTCGCGGAAATCGCAGCGCCGCGCCACTTTCCGTTAACGAACGACGGCCGCAATCTCTTAGCTAACTCAGCTACGACCTTCACTGCCTGCTGGCCGGCTCCTGAGGAAGCCATGGCTGTGGAGAAGACTGCCGCGCTTGGAATGCTATACAAGCCAATCCCAGTTGGTATTTGCCTGAGAATTATTTTGCTCGCTGCTGCCCTTCAGCAGAAACCATTCAACGCAATAGTGTCGCAGGAAAATGCGCTGTAGACACTTTTATCCTGGTCGTCTGTATCGAGAATATTCGAGGGTTTGTCAGCAGATTTGGCCGGACGCTTTTTGACCACCCCCCTCCATCACCCCTCGTTCTTCCTTCCTTCGTTTCAGCCGCTCTGCTTTTCTCCAACAATCGTCCTCCCAAGCGGCCTCCAAGCAGTCTTCCCGCTCATTCCTTCGCTTTCCTCTCAGTTTCTTGCTCGTTTCAGTCAGCCACTTGTCTGAGCCTCAGGTGTCGCGCCCGCCATTCTACACAGCTGCCAGAGCCGGAAAGCCGCATCTACAGGCTTCCCTGCCTGTATCTTGCGACTTGAGGTTATTCCTAACCGGCTCAAGAGACTGCAATAGGCGAAATCGCGGTCGGTTCACCGCGATTCAGGATGGTGTTTCAGGTGTTGGTTCGAGGCCTCGACGGCGCCACCACTCTTCTCCGCACCGATAGAGCCGTCATTTCCGGCGCCGACCTCAAGACGGCCTTGCGCAGCCGCCGCGCCCTTCCGCCACTTTTAAGCGACAGAAGCGATGGCAGATGCGACGGATGCGATGAATGCGACCTTTTCCGCGTCGTTACGGGCACGCGGGAGATCTCGGACACGTCAGTCCTCTCTGCTGACGCGGCAGGATTCTTCCCTTCGTGCCACGTCATCGCGAGGGTTCTCGGCGGAAAGGGAGGCTTCGGGTCGCTGCTGCGCGGTGCCGCCACCAAGGCCGGGCAGAAAAAGACGAGCAATTTCGACGCGTGTCGCGATATGAGTGGTCGGCGACTGAGGCACGTCAACGCCGAGAAGAAGCTGAAGGATTGGCGCCACGAGGCGCGGGAGAGGCAGTTGGAAAAAACCGCTCAGGACTATCTTAAGAGGCTCGCGAAGGAGAAGAAGAAGCGGCGCGAGGAGGTGGTGGGCCTGGGGGAGGTGCGCAAGGCCAGCCACGCCGCCATGGCAAGGGTCGCTGATGCGGTGAAGAGCGGTATGGAGCGGCACGGGCTGGCTGCGGTCGCGAGGAAGGATAAGGGGAAGCGGAAGCTGAGCGCGGAGGAGGAGGGGGAGGAGGAGGCGGAGAGGCAGTTGCAGGCGAAGCGAGGAAAGCTGCTGTGCGTCTCGCGCTGGGGGAAAGGGGGGGGAGAAGAGGGGGAGGAGGGAGAGGGGGGGTTAGGGGGGAGGGGGTGGGGGTGATGAAGGGGTGTGCATACGGGTGGGCATGGGGGATGTGAAAATGAACGAGGTTCGTGGAGGCATTTGAGGCCATTGGGTTGAAATCTCAACCCTAGTTTCAACCGCGGTTTTCTCTGCTGTATGGCTTGTGTTGGTGCCTTCCGTCGGGTCTGGTGGGATTTACGTTGCAATCCCCTGTGGGTCATGCGAGTACGCCCTTGTGCTCCATATGCGGATGTATGTTTGCACTCACATGTGCATGTGGTGTGGTGCCTGGTATGTCGGCTTTGCAGAGGCATGCTGGAAGATATAGAAGAGGAGGAAGACGAGGAGGAGGAGGACGAGGAGGAGGACGAAGATGAGGAAGAAGATGATGAGGAGGAGGAAGGGGAAGAAGGGGAGGAACAGGAGGAACAGGAGGAACAGGAGGAAGAGGAGGAAGAGGAGGATGGTGAGGAGGGAGGAAAGCGTAAAGAGAGGGGAGGGGAGGAGCGGCTTGAAAACGGCGGGTCCAAGGAGGTGAGCGAGGGGAGTGGGGATGCAGGCAGTGCAGGTAAAGCGGCAGCATCTCTGCACTCTTCGTCGTCTGAGGAGGAAAGGGAGGAAGCAGTTGACCCGAGGCATGCATCTGCTGCCCAATCCCTTGCACACAATCATCATCACCATAAGCAGCAGCAGCCGCAGCCACAGCAGCAGGAGCACCAAAAGCCCCGACAGCAGCAGCAGGAGGAGAGGGTGGCGCAGCAGCTGCAGCCAGCAGCCGCAGCAGCAGCAGCAGCAGCAGCAGCAGCAGCAGCAGCAGCAGCAGAGGGTCCCGTGGACCTCTCACTCTTCCACTCAGCTGCACAGCTTGAGGTGAGTGCTGGGCCTGCATGTGTGCTCTGCTCTGCACCTTGTGAGATACATGCCCTGCCCTTTCTTAGCCCCTGAACTCTCTTTTTCCGCGGTGCCCCGCTTATATTCCTCTGCACTCAGCTCCCCCTCACCCGCCTCCCTGCCCTCTCAGTGTCCCCTTCCATGCGTAGCCCATGGGTCTGGACCGTGTGAAGCACGAGCTGCAGCGAAGGGGGTAGCCCTCTCACTGGGTGGAAGTGCACATTGGCATGTAGGGCGGCACGGCTGTTCCTCCTCACAACCTCATCTGCCCCCAAGCCTCAATCCCATGTCCCCTCCACCCCTCTCCCCCTTCAGTCCCTGGGCTTGGACCGCTTGAAGCAGGAGCTGCAGCAGAGGGGGCTCAAGTGCGGGGGCACCCTGGCAGAGAGAGCGGCGCGCCTCTTCCTGCTCGCCAACACCCCCCTGGATCAGATCGACCCCAGGCACCTGGCGGGGGCTGCTGCTGGCGGCAAGGGGCGCAAGAGCAAGGGCAAGGCGTGAGTGGGGGTGCTGGATGGGATGGGGTCGCTTGCACGGCAGTCAGACAGCAACAGCAGTGCGGCTCTTCCTGCTCGCGGCAACCCCCCTGAATCAGATTGACCTTCGGCCTCTGGCTGGAGCTGCTGCCAGTGGCAAGGGAAGGGACACACGGGCAAGGGCAAGGCGTGACTGGGGGAAAGTGCTGCTGCCCCACTTGCGGCGAATTGTGGCATGCTGTGAATATTGGAAGGGGGGATTGCTTATTTGCTGTAGATAGCGCTGCTCTGCTCACTGTGGTGTGGTTACTGCTTTTGATTGTGCCCCCAACGGCCGTTGGGGTGGGGGGGCTGCCTTTCTGTTGCTCCGCTTTCATTCTGTATCCACTCTCCATTCACAACTGCTCCACTTCCCCTTTTTATAGCTTGTAGTAGTTCATTCAAAGCCAGCCATGCTTACGGTACACTCGACTCGACTCCAACCAATCAACCCACCTAAAGGCTTGAAAGCCAGCAAGCAGCTTCAGTCAAGAACCCCAAGGAGAGGATTACCGGGCCTGGTGTTGGGATGGCTAGGTGTCACCATCATCCTGGTGGTTACCACCAATAGCAGGAGTTGCCTTGCCGACTGGATTGACTACCTTGCTCCTCTCATGTGGCAAAGGAAAGCAACAAAACTTTTCACTATGGGCTCATGTACTGTGGTGTGGTGTGCCACAGTGCCACTTGCGCGGCACAACGAAGGTTCACTATTGCAGAGCAGACTAGCAGTGTGCGTGGGGCCCGTGGGCTCCAAGGATGCCTGACAGAATGGAAGACGCTCGGCTGTGCCTGCCAGCGTGGGTGGGGCCAGCGGCATGTGCCTGCTAGCGTAACTGACGGGCAGCCCGAGGAGTCTGTAGGGGGGGAGAGAAGGGGGGAGAGAAGGAAGGGGGGGAGAGAAGGAAGGGGGGGAGAGAGGGAAGGGGGGGAGAGAAGGAAGGGGGGGAGAGAAGGAAGGGGGGAGAGAAGGAAGGGGGGGAGAGAAGGAAGGGGGGGAGAGAAGGAAGGGGGGAGAGAAGGAAGGGGGGAGAGAAGGGGGGGAGAGAAGGGGGGAGTGAAGGGGGGAGAGAAAGGGGGAGAGAAGGGGGGGAGAGACAGGGGGGACAGACGGGGGGGAGAGAGGTATGGTGTTAGGGGAAAGCAGTGAGATGAGCGCAGGAAAGGCTGAGATGAGATGAAAGGCGTGCCGCGAGGGACGTAAGGTGGGTGGAGAAGCCGCAACTAGACGCGTGGGAGGAGCCCATCAAGTGACCACAGGGAGCCACGAGACCTGTGGCACATGACTGGTGGCACATGACTGGTGGCACATGACTGGTGGCACATGACTGGTGGCACATGACTGGTGGCACATGCACAGCGCACCTTCTTGCAGTACTTGGCGCGGATCTTGATGGCCAGATGCACGCACGATGCCACGTCCAGCACCAGCTCCACGTCGTTGAACATCTGCCAGGGGCGAGCAGGATGGGGAGAGGAGGGGAGAAGGGAGACCTGGTATGTTGAGGCCAGAGGGGAGGAGAGGGAACACCAGGAATCTTGACGGCCAGATGGGACACACGACGCCACGTCCAGCACCAGCTCCGCGTGAGTGAACATCTGCCAGGGGAAGGGGGGAAGGAGGGGGGGGAGAACGGGAGAAGCACAGAGGGGAAGGTATGTTGAGGGCAAAGGGGAGGAGAGAGGACACCAGGGACCTTGATGGCCGCATGCACGCACAGGACACCGCGTCCAGCACCAGCTGCATGTCGGTGCACATCTGAGAGGGGCGAGTGGGGAGGATGGGGGCAGGTGAGACCACCTCCACTTCTTCCCGGGACACTACCCTTTCCCCGGGACACAATGGTCTTCTGGAGAAGGCACCACAATGCACCACAATGCACCACAATGCACCACAATGCACCACAATGCACCACGATGGAGCACGAAGCAGCACGAAGCAGCACGATGCAGCACAATGCAGCACACTGCAGCACAATGCAGCACAATGCAGCACAATGCAGCACAATGCAGCACAATGCAGCACAATGCAGCACCATGCAGCAGAATGCAGCAGAATGCAGCACCATGCAGCACAATGGAGCACGATGCAGCACGATGCAGCACGATGCAGCACGATGCAGCACGATGCAGCACAATGCAGCACAACGCACCACAATGGACCACGATGCACCACAATACAGCACAATACAGCACAATGCAGCACAATGCAGCACAATACAGCACAATGCAGCACAATGCAGCACAATGCAGCACAATGCAGCACGATGCAGCACGATGCACCATAATGCACCAAAATGCACCACAATGCACCAGAATGCACAACAATGCACCATGATGCACCACAATGCAGCCACAATAAATCTGACAGCGCTTTACATTACCTTGATCGCCTCATCCGACCCCTCCACCTGCAGCGGTCTCTTCCTTCCGGTTGACCTCAGAATTGCCGCCATACAGAACACCACTAATTCCTCGTCCCTTGGCTGTTGATGTGCCTAAATGCAACCAAAACCTCAGACCACCCTGACAGTATCTCACCTTGATAGCCTCATCCGACCCCTCCACCTGTAGCAGTCTCTTCCGGTTCACCCGCAGAATGGCCGCCACACAGAACACCGCCAGATCCTCATCCCCCACCCGCGCCTCCCCCCACCGCGACATCCCACTCCCCCCCACCCCCTCCATCCCCCCCATGCTCCCCCCAGCGCTTCCCCCCGTACCCCCCCCAGTGCTTCCCCCCATGCTCCCCCCCTTGCGGCCAGAGCGCTTCCCCAGCCCTAGGGCCAGCACCGGGGGGAGGGACGGGGGGATGGGGGGCATGGCGGGGAAGGGGAGCGGGGGGGAGGGGTCTGGGTACGTTGGGGGGAGGGATGGATGGTCGGGGTGTGCAGGGGAGGGGTCTGGGGTGGCGGAGGAGGGGGGCTGGAGAGGGGGGAGGCCGGAGGACCAGGTGAGGGGCTCGGCTGCGAGGGAGAGGCCCTCGGGGGGGTGGTGCAGCAGCACTGCTGCCATGCGCGGGTCGTAGTCCGCCGCCCACATCATCTGGGGAGGCGCAGGAGGACCGCGGGGGGGGAGCAAGTGGGGAGAGGGAGGGGTTGGTGGGGGGAAAGAGGGTGCGCAAGAAGTGGGAAGACGAGAAGAGTTGTTATCAGCGGCCAGATTCTGAGCCGTGCGCAGCGCACACACCCGCACACCCCCAGCCCTAGAAACCCCCCCCCCCCCCCCCCCCCTCACCTCCCACATGACAATCACATCCAGCAGAGGCAGCTGCCGGCGGAAGAGCACGAGCAGCATGCGCAAGGCAAACATGAAGTTGCCCGCGCCCACCTGCTGATCGGTGCGCACGCACTCAACCGACCTTCCCTTCCCTTCACCCCACCCCACCCCACCCCACCCCAGCAACCACGACGTTCCACTGCCGTCTCCTCGGGTAACCCACCTCCCACATGACGATCACATCCAAGAGGGGCAGCTCCCGCCGGAAGAGCACGAGCAGCATGCGGAAGGCGAACATGAAGTTGTCCGCGCCCAGCTCCTCCAGATGCGCCGCCAGCTCGGGGTCCACCAGCGCCACCACGTCCCTTAACACCGCCAGCTGGCGCAGGATGCCCAAGGGGCCCTCCATGAGGAAGTTGTGGCGCTGCGGTGGGAAGGAAGGGGGAAGAGGGGCGGGGAGGGCAGGGGTGGGCGAGCAAAATGCGAACATGAAGTTGTCCGCTCCCAGCTCCTCCACATGCGCCACCAGCTCGGGGTCCACCGGCGCCACCATGTCCCTTAACACCGCCAGCTGGCGCAGGATGCGTAACAGCCCTTCCATGAGGAAGTTGTGGCGCTGGCAGGGAAGAGAGGGGGGAAGGATAGAGCGGGGGGAAGGGTAGAGCGGGGGGAAGGGTAGAGCGGGGGGAAGGGTAGAGCGGGGGGAAGGGTAGAGCGGGGGAAGGGTAGAGCGGGGGGAAGGGTAGAGCGGGGGGAAGGGTAGAGCGGGGGGAAGGGTAGGGCGGGGGGAGGGGTAGAGCGGGGGGAAGGGTAGAGCGGGGGGAAGGAGGGCGGGGGGAAGGGTAGAGCGGGGGGAAGGGTAGAGCGGGGGGAAGGGTAGAGCGGGGGGAAGGGTAGGGCGGGGGGAAGGGTAGGGCGGGGGAAGGGTAGAGCAGGGGGGAGGGTAGGGCGGGGCGAAGGGTAGAGCGGGGGGATTCAAACACGAACTTCATGTGGCCCCCAGCTCCTCCAGATGCGCTGCCAGCTCAGGTGCTCATGGCCCTTCCATGGGGCGAAGTTGTGGCGCTGGCAGGGGAAGGGGGGAAGGGGGAGAAGGAAGGAGGAGAGGGGGACGGGGGGGTGGGCGGAATGCGAGCATGAAGTTGCGCCCAGCTGCTCCAGGTGCGGCAGCAGCTCGGGATCCACTACTAGAGCAATCACGGCCCTCAGTACCGCAACCTGGTGAGGCATGCCCAAGGGACCTTCCACGAGGGAGTTGTGGCGCTGGCAGACAAGGGGGAAAGGGGAACGGAAGGAGCGGGGTGGAGGGGAGGGAGGAAGGCGAGCACGAAGCTGCCTGCGCCTGGCTCCTCCAGTCAAGATGCACTGCCAGCTCCGGGATGGGAAGAAGGTGGAATGGTCTAGACGAGGCAGGGAGCATGCAACGCACGAGAAGAGGGAGGAGAAGGGAGCAGGTGGAGCTAGCAGAAGTCGTGAGGGGAGAGGCGAGTTGAGGGTGGAAGGGTTAGCAAAGGGGTGGAGACAGAAAGGTGGGAGGCGCTTACGATTCTGGAGAAGAGGCTTTCGAAGCACCAGAAGGCATCGGCGGGGTGGGGGAAGAGGATGATGAAGGGCGAGAGCAGGTCGCACATGCCTGCCATAGGGGGCATGGGGAGAGGGGAGGGGAGTGATGGGCGCACATGGGGCATGGAGAGGAGCGAGAGCAGGTCGCAGACAGGGGCAGCGGGGAAGTGCAATGGCGCAGAATGGAAGAGAAGAAAACACAAGGGGTTTCCAGTGGTTTGCCACCACCCTGACTGGTTTTCCAGCGGTTTCCCACCACCCCCAGTGGTGTCCAAATGGTTTTCCAATGGTTTACCACCGCCCTGAGTGGTTCCCTTGCGGTTTGCCACCACCCCGAGTGGTTTGCCAGGGTATGGCTCACGGCAGCGCTGCTCGTCAAGCCCTCGTGGATGCCATTGCTCTTATTGCACCTCAACGACTCAAGGGCTCCTAGCGCCTCATGCCTCATGCTATGCGACTCAAGGGCTCCTAGCTCCTAGCGCCTCATGCTATGCGACGCAACTCAATGGCTGGTCCACTCCACGCACGAAAAGCCAGAATGCCGCTCATGGTGGCTCTGCTCCCCTCTCTCGTCATGGTGGCTCTGCTCCCCTCTCTCGTCCTGGTGACGAGAGCACCCCCTTCCATCGAGCCGCAACTCACCATCATGAAAATGTGTCGTGTGACATTGTAACGAGGTGACCTTTGAGTCGTCCCAAAAGTCACCTCTCTTGTCCTCATAGTGACTCTGCTATCCTCTCTCGTCCTGGAGATGACATCACCTGTTCTTTTCGTGCCGCAAATCACCTTGGCAGAAGCCGGTGGCGGGGTCGATCCACGCGTGCACGGCTAGGATGTCGCTCATGGCCGCCATGTTGCTGCGGTCCTCGTAGAACGCCATGTGGCGGTCCGTGCGCTCCACGTCCACAGCTGGTGGGGAGGAAGGAAGGGAGCAAGGGAGGGAGGGGGGGAAGGAATGGGGCGGGGGGGTGGTGGTCCGACAAGAGAGGGGGGAGACAGGGGTGGCTGAAGAGTGGCACGAAGCGCAGTGCGGCTTCAAGGTGCGCCGGAACAGAACGCCGCATGGTGTGGAGGTAGTGTGCTCTGCAACCACAGCCGCAGCTAGCACAGCATGAGATGAGAGGCAAGAGAGATACGGAGAGAGGGAAGCGATGGTGGGGAGGAAGAGTTGAGGGGGTTTGGCTGCAGACTCACATATCTTGTGCAGCGTCCACAGCCACTCTGCGACCCTCTCAGGCGGCACCCCCAGCTCGGCTGCCACCAACGGATCCACCGTCAGTCGCGCATCCCCCCCCTCCTCCTCCCCCGCCCCCTCCCCCTCCTCCCTCTCCCTCTGCTCCTCCCCTCGACTCACATCCCCTCCCCCCAGTTTCCGCCCCTCCCCCCCGCTCCTCCTCTTGCTTCCCCCCCCACCGCTCCCCTCGTTTCCACCACCATCACCATCATTGCCTTCGTGCCTCTTGCCCCCCTCGCCCTCCCCCTCGCCCTCGCCCTCCCCATCCCCCTCCCCCTCGCCCTCGCCCTCGCCCTCATCGTCGTGGCCAAGGATCCACGACCACACCTGCTCCGCGGTGGGGTTGCGCCCGTTGAACGACCGCTGCCGCACGTACGCCTGCAGAATGCTGCCAGCCTTCCGTTCCCCCGCCCCCTCCCCCGCTCCACCCTCACTCCCCTCACTCCTCTCGGTCCGCCCACTGCCCACGAACGGGCCGGCTGCACCTCTCCCCCCTTCTCCTCTCCCCATGCTTCCAGCGTCCCCTCCAGTGAGCGCCCTCCCCACAGCACACGGCTCTTCCTCCTCCTCTTCCTCTCCCTCTTCCACCTCCTCCTCCTCCCCTTCCGCCAACCTTCCTCTCCTTCCCTCTCCTCCCCCCTCCTGCCTCGTCTCTCCCTCTGCTTGCCCCCTCTTTTCCCCTTCCCCAGCCTCTGCACCCGCAGAGGCAGGCACGGGCCGAGCCCCACTCCCCTGCCCATCGGCTGCAACGTTAGACCCACTCGCCCGATACCTCGCCTCTGCTGTGCGCCGCCGCACCAGAACCTCCTGCCCTCCTGCGCCCTCCCCTCCTCCTCCTCCTCCTGCTGCTGCTGCACTCTCCCTCCCCCCCACGAATTTCAACCCCCAGCCAGCCCCCTCCGCCCCTGCCGATTTCCCTCCCTGCTGCCCCGCCTCTCCCCTGCTCGCCACACCACCCCCACTCCTGCTCCTCCCCCCTCCTCCCCTCTCCTCCTTGCCCATCCACTCTTCCTCCTCTCCCTCCCACCCCTTCCCCCCTTGGTCGGCACGCTCTCCCTCACCGGGAGTCAGGTCCGTCCCTGGGCCCATCGCCCGCCTCATTGACGTTGAAGCCACCACATCCCCCAGCCACGCTGCCTGCCTGCCCTCCGCTCCCACAATCAGCGACGCCTGCTGCCCCCTGCCCCCTTCCGCACCACCTTCCCCAACACCCTCAACCCCCTCTTCCCACGATGCACTGAGTGCTCTCGGCCCACCAATCCCTTCCGAGCCTGCTCTAGGGGAGAGCTGGGAGCGGCGGCTGAGGGAGAGGAAGGACGCCCCGCTGCCAAGCTCAGCTGCTCCCTCACACTGCCCCTCTTGCCCCCTCCCCTCCTCCTCCTCCTCCCCCCCCTCCTCTTCATCATCCCTCTCTTCCACGGACCTTTCCGTGACGCTGCCTAGCTCACCCGCCCCGTCCCCCTTTCCCCTGCGCCTCTCTCCCCACCCGGCGCCACTTTGACTCACGCCCGCACTGCTGCCATCCCTACTGCTGCCCAGCTTACTCCCCGTAGGGACACCAGCTGCAGCAACCACTGGGTGGCCAGCGCTGTTGCTGCTCATGCCGCTGCCGGTGGTGTGGTTGGGAGCGCGGATGCTAGCAAGCAGGTCGTCCACAGAGACGCCCCCCCAGTCCGCGCTCAGCACCTTCTTCAGCCGATTGCCCCCCGCCATCAGCCCCCGCTGTATCCCCCCCATCCCCCCCCCAGCCCTCCCAGCCCCCCTCCCCCTCCCAACCCCCCTCCCGCCCCCCCTCTCCCCACGCCAACACCCCCCACACCCACGCCCTCCCGGGCTGTTCCTCCCGCCCTCACCGCCCCCTCGCCCCCGTCGCTGCTCTCCCCAGCGCCCGCCTCCCCGCCTGCGCTGTCAGCCGCCCCCAGGTACCCCCTGAGCTTCTTGTGCGCCTTCTTCACGCTCTTCACCCCCCTCTGCCACGGCCCCTTGCTGTCGCCCCCCGCTACCCCTCCCACTCCCCCCTCTCCTCCCCCACCAGCGTCCACCCAGCCCTCCTCCTCCTCTGCCTCCCCCTCTCGCTCTATAACGAGGACATCTGCCTCCAGTAGGGAGTTGCTGCTAGCGGATCCCACCCCTGACAGCAGCTTCGACTTGATCTCCCTCCCATCCTTCCCTTCCTTCCACTCCTTCCCTTCCTTGCCCTTGCCCGGCAGCAGGCGCGTCCACTTCTTCTTGCCCTTGCGCCGCTGCCCCTCCAAGCCTGCACCATCATCGAACGCACTCCCTTCCGCCTCTTCCCCTGCTGCTGCAGCGGGGTACGCTGCGCCATCTGCTCCTGCCCCGCCTGCACCCGCTGCGCCACCCCAAGGGCCCTCCTCTGCTGCTGCTGCTGCTGCAGATGTCCCACTGCCTGACTGTGGGCCCTCGGCAACCGGGGCGGCAGCAGAGGTGCCTTGGTCTGGAACGGCAGTGGCAGGGGCAGCAGGCGGGGCGGCGACAAGGGGTTCTTCAGAGCGAGCACTGTGGGAGCGCGCCACACGCACACGCTGCTTCCCACCCGCTCCCTCTGCCCCTCGCTCCAGCAGAAGCAGCCCCACGTCCGTGCTGCGTGTGCGAAGCGTGCCACTCAACCCCGCCCCCCGCGCTCCCGACTCGCTCTGCGCACCTGCTGCCACTCCTCCTCCTCCTCCGGCTCCTCCGGCTCCTCCAGCTCCTCCCTCGCCTTCTCCCAACCTCTCTCCTCCTCCCCTATCCACAGTACTGCCCTCACCGCTGTCATCCCCTGCAACAACCCCCCCTCCGCGCTCCTCTCCCCCACCCATCGCTGCACTGCTGCGCCCCTCTCTGCTGCCCCCCGCAGCGTCCCTTGCCCTGTTCTCCCCACCGCTGCTGCTGCTGGTGCCACCATCCTGCGCTCTACGCCCACTGCCACTCCCACTGCCAAAGCCACCGCCACTGCCGCTCCCCCTCCCCCTCACCCCAGCAGCATCGCTCGCTCGCAGGTGGTCCACTCGCTCGTATCGCCTCTGCCTCTCTCTCGCCCACTTGGCCCTCATCTCCTCCATCCCCCCCCCGCTCTCCCCTTTCCCCCCCATACTCCCGCCCACCCCCCCTCTCCCTCTCCTCCCCTTCGTCCGCCCCCCTCCACCACCTCCGAACCGCTCCACACCCCTGTCCTTCTCCCCGAACCCCTCCTCCTCGTCCTCGTCCTCCTCATCGTCGTCCTCCTCGTCCCCCCCAAACACGGCGCGAGGGTCGTCCAGGTCAAAGAGGTCGATGGAGCAGGAGAAGGACGAGGAGTGCAGGCGCGGCCCGCCCTCCTCTATGAGCTGCTCCATGCGGATGGCGGGGGTGCTGCTGCCCGCGCTCTTGTCTGAGAACTGCCGCGGGAATCTGTCCCCTGCAGCAGAGGAGCCACTGAGTGGTCGAGGCAGCCCGCTGCTGCTGCTGCCGGTGATGCTGCTGGTGGCGTGGGGCGTGGGGGTTCTGCCGCCGCTGTTGCTGGTGCCTGGCCTGCTGCTGCTGCCGCTGGGGCTGCTGGTTGGTCGCGTGCTGTTACTGCTGCTCGTGTTGGTGGTGGTGCTGGTGACAGTGGTGGTGGTGCTGGTAGTGGTGATGGTGGTGCTGCTGCAGCTGTTACCAGGTGCCACTGTGACCACAGTTGTTGTCGTGCTGCTGTGCCTGAAGCTTTTCTGCTCCGTGTCCCCACCACTGCCTAATCCCCCAACCACAGCAGCAGCAGAACCTGCAGCGGCATCACCGACACCAGCATCACAACCCCCAGCAGCAGCAGCACTACCGGCAGCAGCAGCACCCGTAGAGTCACCAGCAGCAGTCGCGGGACTAGCAGCAGCAGCAGCAGCAGCAGCGGTGGAGTGTGCGGTGTGGTGCAGGATGCGCACGTCCATGATCTTGGAGCCCACGGGGAATGCCAGCTGCCCCGTGCCCACGCGCCCGTGCATGCGCCGGCACTGCTGCACCAGCTGCGCAAACCGCTCCCTGCCTCGCCACATGGGGGGGCATGCAGGGTGGTGGCGGGACAGGAGGGCGGAAGCGGGGAGAGAAGGGGAGAAGACGCGCTCAGTGGTCGCTTGGATGTGTGGACGGCTTTGGAGGACAGAGATAAAGGAGGAAGTGGTGTGTTGAAGTGAGCGTGGGCCCCTGTGTGCGTGTGCCACCATGACTCACCGCCTCTGTGTGTGTGTGTGTGACGGAGACTCACCGCCTGGCCTCGTGCACGTAGTTGCGCTTCTCAGCCGCGGAGTCCAGCGAGAACTCCCACACCTCGCACTCCTGTGGTGGGCTGGCCACATGTCTGTCAAGTCAAGGACCCTTCATCTGTGTGTGTGTGCCAGTGACTCACCGCCTGGCCTCGCGCACGTAGTTGCGCTCCTCAGCCGTGGAGTCCAGCGAGAAGGACCCCAGAAGGAACTCCCACACCTCGCCCCGGATCGACCGGTCCACGCCCTGCCATGCCACGCACCACCCATGCACATGCCACGTACCAGCCATGCACATGCCATGCACCAGCCACGCGGACAAGGTGGAGATAATGCGAGGAACGCGTTGCTTGCTGCCAACACACAAGTCGGAATGGCAACTGCTGTCCGTTCACCCTTAGAGAGGCACTCGCTCCCTTGCATCTGAATAACGCTGCAACCTTGCATTGTTGCATACCTCCAGTATGGCTCTGCCACGCTTCTCTCGCATTCCCCTCTGCCACGCACAGCCGCTCTTCCCCCCTCCTCCCCCCCCCCTTCCCCTCCCACTCCCCTTTTCCTCCCCCCCCCTCCCCCTGCTCACCCCGTCCAGCACGGCGCGCAGCACTTGTGGCATGCGCACCAGCCGCCCCTCCGCGTCGAACGCCGCTCGCCACACGCGCGGCTTCAGACGCCGCGCTCGCCCCGCCTGGGGGGAAGGAGGAGGGGAGAGGGGGTGTGTGGGTTGGACGAGTGGCGGAGAGAGACGCGGGGGAGTGAGGCGAGGCGGACTGAAGCGAGGTGGAGAGATGCGACGACAATGCAGCAGGAGGAGAGAGCGACAATGAAGAGGAGGCAGAAGGTCGCGGAAATCAGGAGCAGGGGACATACTGAGGGGAAAGGGAGGAGAGAAGGTGGGGGGGGGGGAAGGGGGGAAGGGGGGAAAGGTGGTGGTGGTGGGGTGGGAAGGAGGGGGGGGGGAGATGACGACATGCAGGACCAAAGGGCGTGCGGCTGACCTGCGTGTTCCAGGGCGGGGCGTGCTGCTGACCTGCGTGTTCCACGGCGCGGCGTGCTGCTGCTGCCGCGCGTCCGCGGAGATCCAGCTGCCGTCCTTCATGCTCGTCGGGGGCTTCTCCGCGCGCCCGTGGCTCCGCCCCTCGCCGCCAAGCTTCTCCGCGAGCCCATGTCCCTTCCCCTCGCCCCCGCGCCCCTGGCCGTGCGACGATGGCGGGCGAAACGCCATCGCACGCCGCTGCTAACAGCTAAGATCGTCGCAGATGTAGCGAGTAATGCGACTCGCATGGGGGACTCCTGCCAGTGGGTATTTTTTAGGCGCCTCAAAGCTAGAGTTTTATCGCATGGGGTCTCCTGCCAGCGCGGCCAGCGGTCACGCGACGACCCGGAATGGAAACGCGACGACCGAAAATGGAAATGCGGCGAAAGAGAATGGCCGCGCGGGACGCGGAACCGCAATGCGACGACCTAAGCGACGCCTAACTCGCGTTGTGCGACCGTGTGCGACCACACCGGTGCGTAACGTGTGACATCACAGCACAGCCCTCGAGCGTTAGACGCTGCTGGGCGTCCGTCTGAACGCTTGTCGGTAAGCTACCTAACATAAATAACGACGAGCGCGGGGTCCGGCGAATGAACTATCTAATGCTCGCTCGAACGGAACCAATGCAGCCTCAATGCTGCGGAACCGAAGGATTAGGGCCCTAGTGAGTGACTCTATCACGCCAGTGGAGCACACGTTCGGATTCCGATGTGCATTGCTCTACACGAAGCCAGCATTTTCTCGCCCAAGGCTCGTGATCTGACACTGCCTCTACTCTCAGCTGAAGGCTCTCCGGACTAAACGTTACTGGAGACTGAACTCAGTACATACTGGTAGTTGGAGCGAAGCCTGCGGACAGGCGTAGTGATTCAGGAACGAGCAGGCAAGGCGAGCAGCAGCAAGTGTGTACGGAATGACGGAGTAGAGAAGAGAGATCAGTACAGTTCAGTGAGACCAGTGCTGCTGAGGAATCTGATTGCGGTGCAGTAACATTGCTTGCGTTTCAAAGCGTTCGAATAGCAACCTAGAATGGTTGGGTGGGGTATTTAGCGAAAACGTACTGCCTGGACCTGCTCTGAGCTTGCACGGCACTATGTGGGGACTGTTCAACCTCGCGTGGTTGGTGGCTCCCTTTGGCCTGGCGCGGCAGTTGAGTTTCGCTAGGAGATACCAAGGGACGAAATAGCTGGTTACCTTAGGCGAGGCATGGCTTGCTACACCTAAAAAAATTATACACCTACAGCCAATAACGGAAAATCTTTCTTAATTATATTTTCTCAGGACAGAGCTTCGTATACGAGTAAAAAAGGGCTCATCAACTATCATTTCATTCCAGGTTTACCACTTCTTATATATGGCGTCATGTGCTTACTGTATGACATGGTCTAACAAATGCCACGAATAGTTAGCTCGTGGCAAACACTTCATGGAGGTGCACATAACCATCCACCACACCATGTAAGGGTTGATGAAGACGGGAGAGATGCTTGGAAAAGGTCAGAAGGTCCTCTCTCATTATATGCTTTCCTGCCCCTTCATTTCCTTCTTAGTTTCTTGAGCCTCACATAGCCAACACAGAAATGCACTAACCATGTCACCCGTATGAGCATTTGCAAACCGTTTATACACGCTGGGGGCCATTCTAATGCACTCACTGCTCAGTGGACAACATGATGTCAGGGGAATGATGTGTACTTGGTGGTGTAGGCTAGTGGACTGAATCCAGGTATGTGAATGATTGATTGTAGGTCATCAGACCTACTCCAAACCTCCACGAAAGCAACAGTGCCTGGCCGCACATGCCGCTGCTCATGGCAGCATGCTTGTATGGAGAAGCATGTCATGCCTGTGTGTGCATGTTAAAGTAGCTCTAGGCTAGGATACTAGGCAGGAACAAGGCAGCCATGAATGTGGCGGCGGGGTTTAGCTAGGAGCTGGACGAGAGTGTCGAGAGAGAAGAGAATGGATTAGGAAGAGAGAGGAGTACAAGGAGGGGTTTGTACCCCCTACAGAAAGGTTCAGTAACAACCTACCAAGCCTATATTAAATTATAACTTGTATAATTTGAACACACCCCCTAGGCTTGGTAGTGTCAAGCCCACTCACACCCCCACACCCACACCCACACCCACACCCCCTAGCCCAGCACCCCCATTCCCAGCAGGAGCCGCAACGACTCCGGAAGAGGGTAGGTCTCACGGCCCCTTGAGACGGCAATGGCGGCAGCAGCGACAGTGACGACAGCGGCGGCGGCGGCGGTGTGCGGCGGCTCAGGCCTGCGGCAACAGCGGCGGCGGCGGCGGCTCGAACGCCAGAGGCTGGTGCGGCGGCCCCCGCCCTCTCGGCGGCATGTCCAGTCTCCTCGGCGGTGGAGAGGTCCCTCATAAGGCAGTCATCGGCTGCAGCAAGAAAGGGGGGAGAAGCAGGGGAAGGAGGGGGGAGGGGGGGGGGGGGGGAGAGGGGCGCGGGGCGTAGTCCAAAATCACGCCGGCGGCTGCAGAGCGGGCGGCAGGTCCGGCGGCACCATTGACGATGCGCGGCCGGCTGTCGCCCGATGACGCCGCCACGGCAGCCAAATGACGGATGCGCGGCCAGCTGTCGCCCGATGACGCCGCCACGGCAGCCAAAAGACGCCGCCATAGCGCGACGTCGATGCCGCGGCGGCGAGGCGGAGGTGCGACTGTTGCTCGACTAAGCCGCCGCGGCATCTCAGAGAAGTCGCCACAGCGGCACGGAAAGGCAAGGCCGCCACGGCGGCAGGAAAACGAAAGGCCGCCATCAGCGGCACGGTACGAAGTGAAACGTAAGACAAGGACGAGGCGGAAGCGTGGAAGGCAGGACCGGAAACGGCCTGCTCTGATACCATGTTAAAGTAGCTCTAGGCTAGTATACTAGGCAGGAACAAGGCCGCCATGAATATGGCGGCGGGGTTTAGCTAGGAGCTGGACGAGAGTGTCGAGAGAAGGAAGAGAATGGATTAGGAAGAGAGAGGAGTACAAGGAGGGGTTTGTACCCCCTACAGAAAGGTTCAGTAACAACCTACCAAGCCTATATTAAATTATAACTTGTATAATTTGAACAGTGCATACGATGGATGATGAAGGGTGATGGAGGGTGATAGAGGGTGATGGAGGGTGATAGAGGGTGATGGAGGGTGATAGAGGGTGATGGAGGGTGATAGAGGGTGATGGAGGGTGATAGAGGGTGATGGAGGGCGATGGCGGGTGATGTAGGGTGATGGGTGATGGAGGGTGGTGGAGGGTGATGGAGGGTGATGGAGGGTGATGGAGGGTGATGGAGGGTGATGCAGGGTGATGGAAGGTGATGAAGGGTGAACAACCCCAGGGTACGTCCCTTCCCCTCTCACCCACCACCATACTCTGGGGGTTTGAACAACCCCAGGGTACGTCCCTTCCACTCTCACCCACCATACTCTGGGGGTTTGAATAACCCCAGGGTACGTCCCTTCCCCTCTCACCCACCATACTCTGGGGGTTTGAAAACCCCTGGGTACGTCCCTTCCCCTCTCACCCACCATACTCTGGGGGTTTGAACAACCCCAGGGTACGTCCCTTCCCCTCACACACACCACCATACTCTGGGGGTTTAAACAGCCCCAGGGTACGTCCCTTCTCCTCTCACCCATCATCATACTCTGGGGGTTCGGAGCCCCCCAAGATATGTCAAGGGCAGAAGTGGGGAGGTGAGGTTATAGAGTGGTAGAGGTGAGGGTTGAAGCCATAAGGGCAACAAGAGGGCAAGAGAGGGAAGGGGAGTTGGAAAGCGTCAAGGTAAGGCTATTAAGAGGCAAGAGAGGGGGAGTTAGAGCTAGAGGCAGAGGAGGGGGGTTCCCCTGCCCCTGCCCTCATTAGTCTTACCCTGAGAGTTTCCAGCCCCCCTCCCCTCTCCTGCCCTCTCCTTACCCTCAGGGCTTTCAACCCCCTCCCTCCCCCTCATTCACCTACTTTGGGGTTTTCAGGCCCCACTCCCTGTTTCTCCCACGCACTCACCTCTTCTGAGGGGATTCAGCCCCCCACTCCCCGCTTCTCCCACTCACTCACCTCCACTGGGGGATTCAGCCCCCCACTCTCCCACTCACCTCCCCTGGGGGTTTCAGCCCCCACTCCCCGGCTCTCCCACCCACAACTTACCCTGGGGTTTCTACTCAACTCCCCTCCCCTCTCCCTCCCAGCAGCAGGAGCAGCAGACAGCTCACCCCCTTTCGGAAACAGCACCCAAGCAGCGGTGCCTTGCAGTGCAGGGAGTGGCAGAGGAAAAGCGTTTCTGGCGCTCGGCTCAAGTGAGCCCCCTGGCGTAGCATGAGCTTGCCCGAACCACAGCCGGCCGGCACGGTTTGTCACTTGAGGTCCGAGTGTCTCACCACGTTGGTTCCACCAGCCACACCCCCACCAGCAACGCACACACCAGCCTAGCTGCTGCCCCTCAGAGAGTGAGATGCATGCTGCTCCCGTGCCCCCCACAGCACAGACCCCGTGATACGATGCAGCAGCAGACCCATACCTCACCGTACCTGGCACCTCACCACACCTGCTACCTTACCTCGCTCACTCTTCACTCCTATCTATCCTGCCCCCCAACTAGCTGGCCGCTGCCCCAACTGCTGCTGCGGCCCCAACTGCTGCTGCTGCTGCTGCTGCTCCTGCTGCTGGTGCCAAGTGACCTGCGAGGGGGGACAAGGGGGGCGGGGGTTGGAGGGGGAGGAGATTAATGGCAGCACCGAGAGGGAGAGTTGCTTGCAGGAAAATGGAGCAAAGGGGGCAAAGCAGGAGGTGACGAAAGGCGAGGCATCAGATGAAGGAAAGCAAAGCAGCAAATGAGAGCAGCAAGTTGAAAACGGGGCTCACCTTAGTCCGTTGACCCTCCTCGACCCACCCCATACTCTCCATTTGCCGCTCAGAATGCGCTGCCCCCATATACTCCTGGCCCGGCCGCTCCTTCCCTCCCCCCCCTGCACCAGTTCACACGTCCGCAAGAATACGCAGCCCTGCAGACAGGTGAGGGAGTGGCGTTTTTTTTTGGGGGGGGGGGGGGGGGGGGGGAGAGGGGAGGATGGGAGGTGTGGCAGAGGCAAGATGGAACGAGAGGGGAGGACGGGAGGTGTGGCAGAGGCAAGATGGAACGAGAGGGGAGGACGGGAGGTGTGGCAGAGGCAAGATGGAACGAGAGGGGAGGACAGGAGGTGTGGCAGAGGCAAGATGGAACGAGAGGGGAGGACGGGAGGTGTGGCAGTGGTAAGAAGAAGCGGCAGTAGGAAGATGGAGACAAGGAAGCAGCAAACGAGGAATAACAAGAATAGAGAGAGTGAGCAACCGAAGGTCAGGCGAGCAGCAGGGAGAAAGGCATGTCACCTTCGTGAGCCGACCCCCTCCCAATACTCTCCAATCCCATGATAGCCAAGTAGAGTGCCGCCCCTCTCAGTGGAGTGTGCCCTGCCCCCTTCAAGTGTTGACACCCCCCAGCAGAGGCACCAGCAGAGAAGAGCGCTGCCCCCCTCCCCACGTGCCAGAGGCACCTGCACGGCCACAAGGGGAGGAGAGCGAGGGAGTGGCGGTGTTGACCCCACCCCCCTCCCCTCAACCAGCAAGGGAAAAACTGTAGAGCAGTTAGTAAGCGGCTAGGGGTAGAAGCGTGATGGGTGTGGATGGGTGGGGTGGGGTGGTGGGAGATGACAGCAGAGGGACCACTGGAGCAGCGTTAGGCACTAGGTGCAGACCAAAGGGGTGTATGTATCAAGAGGGGGGTATATAGTAAGTGTATAGGGTTTACGGTTGGGCTTAACCTGGGGGCTGTGGGGGGGGGGGATACCTGGAATAGGGGGTCTGCACCATGTGGGCTAGGCTGCTGCCAGTGGTTTAGGTTTTAAGAGA